GCTATTAATGGGAAAATCCACTATTTCTATGGCCATTTTCAATAGCTATTTTGACATAACCAGAGGGTATTTGCACCAAGTTAGCGATTCCGAACTGGGGCACCACCGCACGTAGAAATATGGGGCAGTGAACTTCGGTGACCCTTTCAGCTTCGGTAAGATGCCATGCTGGTCATGCGAGCTGGTCATCCCATGCCCCAAGCAGAAGATATGCCATGCGATTTGGCTATGCTATGGCTATGATCAATCCCAAAAAACTAACCATCATGGGAATATAATGATTATATGGCTATTATATATGCTATGGCTATTATAAATTATAAATCCCTATACGAATCCCTATATATAATTATGGCTATAAATCAATCCCAAAAAATGTGGGTATAAATCAATGACTATATATAATTCTGGTAAACCCAAGAATAAACCATCACCCATAGAGGTTTTGCTTTTTGGCTATGTAAAAAACTTACCCCTGGAAAGCCTGGAAATGGGATGAATGATGCCCAGCTATGGTCAATAGGATGGTTTATTGGGCTTATTGGGTTTACCCTCTGGTTATGTCAAAATAGCTATTGAGAATGGCCATTTATAGTGGTTTTCCCATTAAATATTGTTATTTTCCATAGTTATGTTAGTTTACCAGAGGGTACCATGGTTTACCAAATTAACGATACCATAGTTCAATGACATTTTCAGGAACCTAAAATGGAGGTACTGTATCACATAAAACATCATAAAACATCATAAAACCATATTCTTGGGGCATATCCCCTTACATTGCCTTACATAGACCTTACATATTTAGGTACCTCCAATTTGGGTTCCTGAAATGGCCGTTGAATAGTGATGATTACTGGATTGATTACCTCCCATATGTGCATATAATCCAACTTTTTACCCTGCCACAGGTGATAAAAATCTGATTGGAACTTCTGTGTCCGGGGGATATGCCTGACCAGTGGATTTCCACACTGAAATAAGTCATATTGATCTTTAGGTGTCACCGCTTGGGCACATACTCAACTGATTTTCGCATATTTTCGCAGCAATGGAAAAACATGAGATATGAGTCTGTCTCAAATTCGCGAACCTGACATGATGTCAGGTGTCATTCTGAAGCACAAATCACGATGGAGAGTTCTCTCGGATTCTTGGATTCTCAGTTTTGAGACAAACCCACATGACCAAATTACGGTCTTCTCTGCCTTGGCTTCCCAAATGTCTTTTGGCAGCACCACATCAACATCAAATCCTTTCGACCCACACAACGCATCTGCCACTCCGCGACAGAACTGAGAGGTGTCTTAACAAAGTCGTTGTGGCCTGGGATGAAGCCTCAATTCGTGCAAGAAATTCCTGGAACTATGCAACACCCTCCAGTGACTCCAGCAGCCTCCAGTGGAAGCGATTTTTTTTTGGGCAAATCGCTGATTAATTCAAAAATTGGATGCGAACACTGCAAACAATGACCAAGTGCATGATTTTCAAGTATATAATAATATGACAATATTTAAACATATAAACCATATAATAAACATTTCCAAGTGCATCATTGTTTGAAGCACATCATATGTATATTCAACATTATCGCTGCCAATGACAATCGGACCGTATTAGATATCAACTTGTAAAGTTCTTTTACATCTGTGCAACCATGGTATCATAGTGGGATATCCCCACCTATAATCCAAAAAGGACCTTAGGGGTAGAAGATATTCCTCTGCGATTTCCCAATGGGATCACTTCACCCATATGCTGGAGGCTGGAGAGGCAATCTATTATAGCTAGCTCGTAACTTGGGGCTGCAGTTGAGGTTATCTATGGCTATCACGGTATAACTTATATATTATACCCTCTGGTTATTTAACATAGCCATGGAAAATCACCATGTTTAATAGGTAAAGCATCTATTTCTATGGGCCATTTTCCATGGCTATGTTAAATAACCAGAGGGTATATATAAACCATATAGTCACTATAGCAATAATTCCCACAAGTTGGGATATGATCCTGATATACACTCCAGTAAATCAACATGGACCCTGGCAGTCATCGGGGTTGGAAGATTAGTTTCCTCTAAAAATTGGTGATAAAATCAGGGTCGAACTGTTATTTTACCAGAGGGTAACTTAATTAACATCTTTCAATGGAACATCATCTACAAACGGATCTGTGACAGATATTTCCCATGGGTTATATCATTCAAACGCATACAACTTCCAGAAACAGAAGGGTAAATCACCAATTGAACCCTTATGGCACCATGCTTATACCCATTGAACCCCATAGTTTTTTCAACTGCAGCCCCAGTTGAAACCTGCAATACCTGGACGCCTGGACTGGCTGATGGTTCCGCCCAGATATGAATATATCATCAACATTAGAATATCTACTTTGATGATATATGAATTATATGAACATCAACATTATGAACATCAAATTATGAACATCAACATTATATATTATGAACATCTACTTTGATTGACGCTTGATGTTCATAATATGTTTTGACATTCTTGACCCATCCCACATTAAAAGAAAAACCCAAGTCGTAACTGCGACTCCAAAGTTGATACCTGTACCAGTCTTCCAAGAGTGAGGGTCCCTGATGTCCAACATTGTCCAACCATCAAACTCGTGGAAAAGACCGGAGCTGTTGGGAAACAACAAACATAGAACACGTGAAGCTAGTTGCCAGCCACTGATTCAGCATCCAAACTGCAAGGATCTCGATGATCTCAAGTTCAAAAGTGCTGCGACTGCAACGGATTGATTCTGCACATCTTTGGCAGCTCCGACCACAGCCGCGCGCTCAAAATGCTGCGATGTCGCAGGGCGGTTCCACGAAGACACCAGGTCGGTCAGTTTATGTTCCGGTTTTGTGGTTTCCGAATGTATAACACAACACTGCTGCATGCAAAAAAGCAAATCAAAAAAACACAAGTCGCTGTCATTGTATCTGTTTTCCTGTCTTTCATGTGGGAACTATCATATAGTAGCTCATTGGCTCCACATTTCGGAAAAATATAGATAGCCATAGCTCCTCACAGCTCCCTCCTGTATTTTCATTCTTTATTTTTTCTGTGCCTGTGAATGGCAAGCCGACATGGCCACTGCGACATCATACCTCCTAATGCATCACAACTTGCGGATGGACTTTCAAAACCTGGTAGCTGGCGCAAGCTTTGTCACAACGGCTACACTGCCCAAGGTCTCATGACGAAGAACTCCATTTTATGGGCATTATCAAGAGGCAACCATAGGTAAACCATTTGTCAAACACAGTTTGCACATGTTCATCTTTGTTTAGGGGATTTCATCTGAGATTTTCACAAGCTAATCGGCAAGATCGGATGGAACCTTGCAGGAACTGAATGCCCCAACTGAAAAAATCCCAACTGGCTATGGGCCAACAGTTACATTTAAGGAAAACAAACACAAAACCCCCCCTGGTCATCTTTCCTCCTAGTCATCCTGCTTGTTTTGTCTTGCTGCTGGGTAAGAAAAGATGACTCAACCGAGCCATTCCCCAACTTCCACCATAAGACAGTTTGTGTATACCACCAGTGCCTGGTTTTTCGCTGGGGCACGGGACGGTCTCCTACAAATGGAGCTTTGATTGGAGAGTAGCCTCTGGTAAATTAACGGTTTGCTATTGGACATGGCCATAGAAAGAGTGGATGTACCTATAAAAAATGGTGATTTTCGATAGCTATGTTAATTTACCAGAGAGTAACCCCATGGAATTGTCGAATGACCTGTCTTGGTCGTTGCCATACCAGAAAAACGCGCCCCAAAGCTGCGACAAAAAATAGCAACTCTGCGCCACCTCTGGTGATCCACCGCGTTGTCTGACGTATACAGAAAAAATACTCCGACGCATACCCTCTGGTAAACTAACATAGCTATGGAAAATCACAATTTTTAATGGGAAAACTCACTATAAATGGCCATGTTCAATAGCTATGTTAGTTTACCGGAGGGTACATTATGTAAACAATCTGAGATGTGGAAGTGTCTTGAAATAGGCCTAAATCTCATGGCATAATGGTCGATCATAATTTTCCACATAACAATTGCTACAAAATCGCATTCTGAACCACTCCCAATGATATCCCCATAGCCATTGGTTCAAAGCCACATCTTCAGCTAGCACACCCAAAGAACTCCCAAGTCTTTGTGTCACATCACCATTTCATCACCAGATGTGTTTGGTTAAATCCCATTAAACCCCGGTTGATGACATTAAACCACCATGTTTTCTCATGAAATCCCAAAAAACATATAGAAACCAAGTTATTTGTTCACCATGTTTCCGATAAACTCCACCTAGCTGGTGGTTAAAAAACAATCTTGAAAAATGATGGAGTTCGTCAATGGGAAGGATGACAACCCATATATGAAATGGAAAATAAAACATGTTTGAAACCACCAATCAGCCACTATTTTCCACCATTTTTTTCCCATCGAACAACCAGTCCGTCCGTGTGTCACCGGTCCTCATCTGGCCGTCGCCGGGCCCGGCGAGTACCACACCTGTTCCGCGTCCCGGGGATGCCTCTCTATCAAAATAACCCAGCCATCACTGCACTTAAGGGATAAAACTATTGAACAGATATGAACAAAAACTATTGGCACTTAACTTTTCTTGAGTTTTCTTGTAATCACTTCCATTGTAGTTCGAATTGATGTAGACATGATATTAATATGTTTTTACATGAACCGCCAGTGGGAGTATGTCGAGTTGTCCCGTGGGCGGTTCATGTCTTTTTCCGCATGGATTTCCTCGAACTGTTCGACACCCTGGCAAGCATCCCGGTTACTAATAAGAATCATTATTCTTCAAACAAGTTCATCTGGTTGGTGGTTTCAACCCCTCTGAAAAATATCAGTCAATGGCAATGGGAAGAATTATCCCATATATTATGGAAAATAAAACATGTTTGAAACCACCAACCAGTCATATTCGTGATTTTTATGGGATATATTTCATATTACTATGACATGATGTATATAGAACACCTGCTAGGTAGACCCTTGCACATCCAAGTAGCACCATGTCGCTGCCTTTCGTGCACTCCTTTTCTCTCGTTTGGTTGCTTGGACATTGGCGAAGTCGGGCTCTCTGACCCACTGCTATCAGATGATGAAGACCTGAAAACTCCCAGGGGATTGGGTAACCAGGTAAACATGGTATAAAATGCAGGTGGTTAGCTTGGTGGGACGACATACACCCTCTTCAATGAATCATACAATGGGTGGTTTTCATCCATACACAAAATCTGGTTGGTGGTTCAAAAACAATCTTGAAAAATGATGGAGTTCGTCAATGGGAAGGATGACATCCCATATATATCCATATATGAAATGGAAACATAATCCAAATGTTCCAAACCACCAACCAGATATTTTTATTTCCTATATCTATTATGGAAAATCCCAACCAGAAATGGAGGTGTTATTCCAAACCACCAACCAGAAACGTCCGATACGGATTGTCGATCAATCCCACAGCGGCCAAAATGGAACCCGAAATCAAGGCCCTGGTTTAGTAGAATGGATCTATGTACCCGGCCTGGTAAACATTAACAAAAAAACATGGAAAAATTCACCATGCTATTAATGGGTAAATCATGGTAAATCAACTATTTCGACTGGGCCATGTTCAAGTTCGCGAACTGTGCAATCACCATGTTTAATAAGTAAATCAACTATAAATGTTCCATTTTCAAAAACTATTTTGACATAACCAGAGGCTATTTTTTGTTTGTCCCAATATGTCCCAATCAGTACTTTCAGGTGACCCATCCCATCACCTCTCGGGTCCAACCCAGCGTTCCCCGGGTTCCCCGGCGAGGACGACACCACCACCGTGCGCTTCGGCTTCGTCGCCGTGGGAAGGTTTCCGATGGCCAGGCGCCAGGAGGACACGAGGCGGGAAGCGAAGTGCGCCACCTCGGCGATGGATCGTATTGTCAGAGATGGGAAAATATTGGGAAAATATATGGAAAAATGTGGTTAATCTACTGTTAGTAATGGTTAATGTTAATGGGTATTAAATGGTGAATGATGGTTAATCATAATCTGGTTGATGGTTGAGATATGATTTATTGGTGATTTAATGGCTTAACAATGGGTTAACATTGCTGAATAATGGGATGATAATGGGATAACATAAAACCAATAACCTATAGTTACTGGTTGGTGGTATACCTACCCCTCTGAAAAATATGAAAGTCAGTTGGGATGAATGATGACATTCCCAATATATTGCAAAATAAAAAATGTTCCAAACCAGCAACCAGCTATAGTTGATAATGCGATGTTAATGGGTACAGGTTATGGTAAACTACCCAATAGCCATGATTTATGGAATGGGTTACCCTCTGGTAAACATACAAAAAAACTTTACTTCGTGTGATCCCCACCATGACATTTATACATTTTGTTACTGGCAAATCTTCTGGCATTCTATCTGACATATCTTCTGGCATTCTATCTGGCATTCTGGCATATCTTCTGGCGTTCTACCTGACATATCTTCTGGCATATCTTCTGGCATTCTATCTGGCATATTGTCTGGCAAATCTTCTGGCATTCTATCTGGCAAACATTCTGGCACTTTATCTGGCATATCTTCTGGCATTCTATCTGACATATCTTCTGGCATTCTATCTGGCATTCCATCTGGCATTCTATCTGGCATATCTTCTGGCATTCTATCTGACGTTCTATCTGGCATTCTATCTGACATATCTTCTGGCATTCTATCTGGCATATCTTCTAGCATTCTATCTGGCATTCTATCTGACAAATCTTCTGGCATTCTATCTGGCATATCTTCTGGCATTCTATCTGGCATATTATCTGGCAAATCTTCTGGCATCGTATCTGACATTCTATCTGGCATATCTTCTGGCATTCTATCTGGCCGTTGAGGTGCCAGCCGTGCACACTGAGCTGGGAAAGGTCCCAGGTTGAGGTCCAGCGGTGCACACTGAGTCGGAGGTCCCCAGGTTGAGGTCCAGCGGTGCACACTGAGCTGGAAGGTCCCAGGTGAGGTCCAGCGGTGCACCACTGAGCTGGGAAGGTCCCAGGTTGAGGTCCAGCGGTGCACACTGAGCTGGGAAGGTCCCAGGTTGAGGTCCAGCGGTGCACACTGAGCTGGGAAGTTGGCAAAGAGCTTGGCGCAGAGAGTCGGCGAAGAGAGTTGGCAAAGAGCTTGGCGAAGAGTTGGCAAGGCGGAAGTGCAGGTGGAAGTTGATGCAGACATGGTCGAGGAGAAACTGAAGGAGGAGGCGAGGAGGAGGACGAGGAGGAAGAGGACAGCTAGTCGAGGAGGAGGAAGATGAGGCGGAGGAAGAGCGCTCTGATAAAATCTAACAACCCTCACCTGGCAGGTGGGGAAATATGGACAATCACCCTTTTTTATGGGTAAAAGAACGATTTCGACTGGGTCATTTTCAATAGCGAACCGTGAAATTACCAGGGCAATAGATAGTGTAATGCCAAATAGGAAAGTCTAATGGAGAAAATACTATCAATATTATTTTTTTCTGAAAGCCTATGGATAAGAGTATTGTTATAACATATAGATACTGTTAGCATATTGTATCATCAGGATTCTATTTTCAACAAGGAATATCGGTAAATAATTCTATGCCATGGATTTGTTCAATAGACCTAGACCCTCCGTTTGCACCCCAAAACATTGTGTTTTACCCAATAACGAACAAGTACGTCTACCATTTTTCGGGGGTAGTTGGCGGGTCTAGGGAATAACATCATTAAACTTTAATGGAATCTATGATTAATTATCCATGATTATGATAATTATTTGGGTATGGGTCAAAATTGGGTACCCCCTGAAAATGGACGGTTAATACTTATACTAAAAATAAACGAAACAAAGGTGGTTCGATTTAAGTCTTGAGTTCTGACCCCATCCCCACGTCAATATTCTATTGCAATTCCATGAGTCCAGTAACACTAAATGTTATGAATAATTCTGGATTTGAGCATTTTTCTAGCAATCATCTATTGTTAGATATTCGTTAGTAAAGTTATGGAGTTATGGAGATAGTTATGGCATGAGTTTAAATACCACTTGTCCTTGACAAGGTGGTGATCAAGTTCAGCAAAGTCCATTGGATATCATCCACCTGCTGACTGCGAATTCATCGTCCTCATCTCGAAGGGCGAAAAAGCCCAAGCGGGTATGGATCTAAATCCAAATCTATGACCCTATAGAGGGTACAAGTACTGTATACCGCCAGCACTTTGATTTCCCCTTTTGCCATACCCATGGTTGTGCTATAATTACACCAAAAAACAATCCAAAAAACCATGGCCATGGGGTGGGTCAACACCTACCATTAATCGGGAGATTTTCAGAACCCACCTGGGGGGAGAAATCTGTGATTTTGGTCCGGGTGAACCGTGGGTCGAGTTATAATCATTGGGACGGCCCGGGTCTAAACAAAGATGTGGCTGATCCATTGATGGAGGTGTTCCATCATGTTTCGGTTGAAAAACCCAAATCTTCCTGACTAACCATCATTTTAAGACAGTTCCATCACCAGTATAAAATCGCTCAATCGCGATGTGGACGGTTTACCCGTTTGCCCATAGTTTACTGATAAAATATGGTACAGTACAGTAGTTTAATGTTGAAATATGGTACAGCAACATGTCTAAATGCTTTCATTCATCCCAATTGTTCACTTGTTATATGCATAATCTATTGATAAACACCGTAAGCGTATATAAAAAATGGCTAAAAGAAGGTAAACCCACTGAACATCATCAAACACGAATATAACAATAAATATGGGGACTAGACAATATGTTTTATAACAATAAATATTTTTATAACAATAATATTTTATAATATTATTGGGTACCCCATGAAATAAACAATATAACAATATATCATGTAATCAAAATCAATATTATAACATATACTGGTTGGTGGTTTTAACCCTCTGAAAAATAGTCAATGTCAAGGATTATCCCATATAGTATGCAACAATAAAAACATGTTTCAAATCACCAACCAGTAAAACATAGTATAACATATAGAATGACAACAAAAATCTGGTGATGTCAACCCCGGATTAATAAACCATGGTTTGTTAATTGGGGGGGTATTCAAAGGGTACTTTAAACCATGGTTTATTAATTAACCAAGAGTCATGATTTGATACTTAAAGGGTAGCTTCCCAATTAAACAGCCGTTTGGGGTTTATTAATCCAGGGTTGACATTGCAATAACCCCACGTAACAACCAGCATTCACCAGCGCACCTCTGCATCCTCCACTCGGCTGTAGCGGTTCACCGCCTTCCCGGCGCCCGTGCGGCGTAACGCCTCCACCAGGCGTTGGTCGCGCAGCGGGGCCAGGGCGACAGAGAGGCGCCTCGGCACAAACGAGGCCACGATTGGTCACGGTACAAGCTGGTGCCCCACAGTTAGCAACAAAAATATACCAAACATTGGGATCTCATGAGATTTATAGCCTTATAACTGAGTTTGTTAGCTAAGTTGGTGAACATAACTCCAATGACTTGGGTATAGAGTAGATATATCATCTATACTTGATTGCTGGTTATAAATTATAAACCAACTTATCACTGTGCGGCACTACCTTGCATGCATATCCATGGAAAGAACCTACCATTTGATGTGGGACTTCAGGATGTTTATATGTCAAACATTGGGAAATCACCACCACAAAATCAGGATTTAACCACCAAAGGTGAGAATTCAACCAGCAAAAATGATGATTTATCAACCAACAGTGATGGTTTCAAGTTTTGACTACGCAAATAAATATAGGCATTTAAGCACCAAAAACGCAATTTCAAACATCATGATACGTGCCGAACAAAAAGAACCGACCTCCAAGAATCTGCTAAGATGTTCCAGTTCCTCAATCTACATGGCATTTCTTTTGCCAAATGGGTATGCAAAGGAAATATGATAGACAACACAATCCATCAACCAGTTTGTTAACAAACTTTACATAAGATTCATAACACTTGCACCAAACATGTTTCAACGCATCCTTAAGAAAACCATATCCTCGGAGTTTCCAGCCGTGAAAATGGACGACCAATCGGCCAATGCCACGTGCAGTCGCAACAATCATGAAAATCACAGAATCCTGAGTGTCTGTCCATTGTTTTTGATGTTACATGATGTTACCCCCATTTCTATTGCATTCTTCAAAACCATCAGGCTCACATAGAATAAACGAAAAACAATATGCTCAAGAGGGAACAAACATCTTCAAAGCATCTACGGAAATTCATACCAACTTCCAATCATGATCGTTTCCAATCGTTTCCAATTCATCAATCAAATCCTTTGAAGCCTCCAGCAGTGGATTTCCTCGGCTGTTTCGGCCTCAAGAGGCTCAGGACCTCCTCTCGATCCATCTTTTCGGTGCTCAACGAGCGGCTCATCTCGGCCACCTCCGGGCGTTGTGCACAAGGCAAAGTGATGAAAAATGGAGATTTGATGGGATTTAAATCGGTATTTAATGGTATTTAACCGGTATATATATATATATCGGTTGGATGCTGATTGAACCTGGGGATATATAAATATACAATAGTAAATATATATACAGCCATACAGCCTTTGCAAGCTTGGTGAGGAAGTGGTTTTTGTGAGCCATAATTAGGAACAGTATCTTTAGGTAACTCAGCAAACTTGCAACAAAATCTGACTCACAAACTGGCGACGAATCGACGAAGCAACAACAGGGATCTAACAAACAAGCATACTTAGATGGGCCATGGAGTTAGTTAACTAGTTAATAAGTGGATTATAATTGGGATATAGGAGGTAACAAATCCCCAGTTACTAACCAGGAATCGCTAATCCCATGGCCCATCTAATTAAGTAGTAAATATAGTAAGTATGGATATGGATATGGGGTCCTGGAATTGTCTGAAGTCCAAAATTGGAGTTGCGAAGTTCCAGGCATCAAATGAACTGTGGGCCACAGGGTCAGTTCCCTGGGCCAAACATGGCCTGTGCTGACCTCGAAACGGATAACCACCAACATTTCAGGTGGGTCGGATGCCTTCACGAAGATCATGAGGCAGTTCCCCAGGGTTCAGAAGCACATTGATGCTATCCTTCAAGAAGTAAGGCTCAGAGAAGAAATGCTCTTCGAGAGCATCCATGATTGGTACCTTGGAACTGCCGGCTGCATTTCCCACTGCAAGTTCCAGCAGAACAATGTGCAGCTGGCATCAGCTGGCCCAACGCCGCCGCAGCAAGTCTTATGGTAGACCCGACTGCCCCAAAAATAAGCAAAGATCAAAGTGTATGACCACAATCCATGCAGCAAAGGATGGGTTGGAACAGGGGATACCAGTGTAGCATTCCTCTCGTGTGCTTCACCTGCCCCATACTCCAAATCTTGAAGACACTAACTGGTTCAGGGGGTTGGACACAAACTATATAAGCATATAGTATATATGTATATATATATATATTTATTTATAATGCATAATATATATATAATATAATATATATATATATATAATATAATATATATATAATATAATATATATATATAATATAATAAATATATATATATAATGTAATACAATATAAATTCACACGTCATAAATGGCCACATAATCTTGCATAAACCACTTGATGCATGTCATGCGCGATAAATTAGTGGGAATAAAGCACCTTCTTTCTTGTTTAAATCATCAGTTCAAAAATTTGTTGATTGTTAAACCACATTACTTTCTTCCACCCAATGTTCATCAAACTACCACTTTTTCCCATAACTGTCCCATGCATCCCCCTCGTTAGTACTGTTTTTCGTTATTTTTGCTGTCATATGTATATATACGTATTTACTTATTCATCTATTATCTCTACTTATTGCATTATAGACGATACGTCGTATCCCCATGAGATCACTATGCACCACTTTAAACTGGCTGGTGAAACTGTTCATGATGAATTGTGATAATCCCAATATATCGGATAATATCACCCTATAGGATCATCAACGTCATGAACATTTTCCATCACATTTTCCATCACCATGACATCCGGTTTTTTATCACCACTGCAAAAAAAAACATAAGACATCAAAAAATGACCTAGTAATCATCAGTTATCACTTATTATCATTGATTATCCGATGAATTTCCGCCATCAAATCACCATTTTAGTATTGAAACTCATGGTGACTTGGGCCCATGACTTGAGAACCCTCGTGATCAACCAACAAAGGTTTTGAACACATCAAAAATATTGTCCGATTATATCATCATTAAACACAAGTTAAACACCATATACTGTCCCATTCATCACCGTTCAACGCAATACATAGTCACTGATCATCTTGTTATTGTCCCATCAAATCACCATTGCATCATCCTGTTTTTCCCATGAAATCCAATTAGGATCCCATGACATTACCATTGTTGCTGAGTTTTGGGGTTCATGAAACTACCTGGTTGGTGGTGCAATAACCATCTAAAGAAACATATGAGTTCGTCATTAGGAAGGATCATTATTCCCAAGATATTATGGAAAATAATAGATCTTTGAAACCACCAGACTACCATCTGGTTATGACTAACATAGCTATGGAAAATCCCAACCATAAATGGAGGTTTATAGCTGGGAAAATCATCTATAAATGGGCCATTTTCCATGGCTATACACTGGTAGGACAAAAGTTGCGCTTGTTGAGCTTCCCACAGTGAACATGGTTGGTTTCTTCTTCTGCACACCCTTTCCCCGGTAGAATCCTAGCATGGAGCTTTGCCGTACCCCGGTCGCATTTCCACCCTCCAAAAGCGTTAAAATCTTATATATTTAAAAGAGGGTGATAATTGACCGTCCCACACCTGCCACACAAAACGGACTTGAAAATGTGATCCGTGGTTGACCGAAATGGGTGTTTTGCAAAGCTTTCAAGAAGCATAAACTTTGTTCCTCCTGAAGGGTACAAAAAGCTTATTTAGTGGGAATTGCCAAGTCATTTGCTGATTTTTGCACCTGCTTCAGCTTGGCCATTACTCCACATAACATGTCTGTCTCCATCCTCTTTGTCTGCACTGCTACACATGTGCCGTGGCGCAGGGTACAAAAAGCTTATCGAGTGGGGATTGCCAAGTCATTTGCTGATTTTTGCACCTGCTTCAGCTTGGTAATTACTCCACAACATGTCTGTCTCCATCCTCTTTGTCTGCACTGCTACACATGTGCCGTGACGCACTGGTAGGACAAAAGTTGCGCTGGTTGAGCTTCCCACAGTGAACTTGGTTGGTTTCTTCTTCTGCACACCCTTTCCCCGTAGAATCCTAGCATGGAGCTTTGTCGTACCCCGGTCGCATTTCCACCCTCCAAAAGCTTTAAAATCTTATATATTTAAAAGAGGGTGATAATTGACCGTCCCACACCTGCCACACAAAAAATCCTAGCATGGAGCTTTGCCGTACCCCGGTCGCATTTCCACCCTCCAAAAGCGTTAAAATCTTATATATTTAAAAGAGGGTGATAATTGACCGTCCCACACCTGCCACACAAAACGGACTTGAAAATGTGATCCGTGGTTGACCGAAATGGGTGTTTTGTAAAGCTTTCAAGAAGCATAAACTTTGTTCCTCCTGAAGTATTAAATAACCAGAGGGTAGCCAGGTTGTACTGCTCATCTGGTAACCTCCCCCGCTGTCATGGCCTCGCCCTGGGTCACATGCACCGCGGCCTTGGACGCCTTGCGCACGGCGGCGCAATCTTCGATGCGCAGCTGACGGGGAGAGCCTCGGGAAGTCAGGTGCGTTATGGAGAAAGAGGATGTAAACATGTAATTATGGAACATTTCAAACAAACTAATGGAAAAGTAGGAAACAGAAAGGAACACCATTTTGAACACTAGGGCCAAGTTAAGGAAAAATGTCAGGAAAATGATGGGGAAAGTTGAGGTGCCAAGGAAAATAGAAGAAGGTGAAGCTGAAGAGTATGGGTTGATAAGCAGTAATACACGCTCCTATGTATTTCCTGAGAGTACTTGGGTTTGTCGAATCATAGCATACCCCGAAAACATCCGAAAACTATTTAATAGTGAATTTCCCTCAAAGGGCAAGTGATTTCTCAGATATCAAATGGGCAGTGCGGAATTTAAGCGACCTAAAGTGACATTTTGATAATCAATGAATGATTTTCAATCAACACATATCCGCACTTTGCATGATAGGAAAACCAATGACTCTTCAAAGTCAACCTTCATGCATCTTTCTGTTGAGCTGCACATGGGGAAATTAGATGATGCAGGCCAAAGAGAACAGTCATCTGTTCTCAGCCCTGCTGGTTGATGTTTGTTGATGGCTTAGGATTGGAATTCGCACCATTTTCACACATAACTAATCTTAGTTTTTTTCATATCTTTCATCTGGTTGGTGGTATACCTACCCCTCTGAAAAAATGACTTCGTCAGTTGGGATGACAATTTCACTCCCAATTAATATGAAAAGTCAGAAAAATTATATAAAATGCATGTTCCAAAACACCAACCAATATATATATATTTATTTATTTGTTTATTTATTTATTTATTTATTTTCATCATAGTTTAGGAATATAACATACTAAGTGGGATTGATCATTGTTATTTTCCCATATGTTTCATGGTTTCCATTGCTTTCCCTAACAGTAAACCCATCATGTCTGCTTCAAACCTCAACGTTTCGACGTAGGCCAGGGCACGTGAGGCCACGCGAACCGGCATCGGCGACGTGATGCGGAGGGTGATTTGAAGAGTTCCTTGTTGAATTTGTTTTCTAATGGGTTCCCAACATCTGGAAACTCTGATTTTGGCATTTTCCAGGGGTTTTCATCCTTCAACGTGATTCATTATGAAAATCTGATCATGGAATCAGACCATATGAGTTTCCATCTCAGCGAGGGCCATTAGGGTTCCAATCCGAGCAAAGGACACCAAAGGATCAAACAACATTGAATCCATTATCAAAAACTATCTGCCTTGCAATCGTTTCAAGCATCAATTGCCCCTGAAGAGCTACTTATAGATGGTTTGTTTTGTCCCTAGAGAAACGCGAAGGATCTGTGCATTTCACTGTTAAATTGACATGAATCTACATATGTTTACGATATTTTCTTTTTGCATGAACCAAACGGCAACAAAGGAGAACCACACAAGGTGGGTCATTGAAACACTGGTCAACAACGAGCCTGTAGGGTCTACTTAACCGCAAGAAGAAAAATGCAAGTCTCAATTTCATGTGGGTGTGTCTGAAAATGAGGCATGCTGCCAAAATGGTCGTTTTACACTGGACAATCTGGTGATTTAACCAATGGATTTACGGATGCCCATTTTCGGGCAAACCCGCTTTTCTTTTTTGCAGTCACAGCAGCAAATCATGTAGGTAATATTTGGTAATGCTCTATTTCTGTGAACGACTGAAGACTGTATGCAATGCATGTTAACATGTATATATAATATGTATATATATATGTTAAGAGACAAAAGTGATGATGAATTCAATGACAAATTACTTTCTTCGAGTGATCCCCACCCTGAAACTTCTGAAACAGTATTCTGCCATATTCTGACGTAGTTTCTGACATACCATCTGGAAGTATATATATATGGCAGATTCATTCTGACATTCTTTCTGGCATATACTTTGACATTCTACATCTGACATTCTATCTGCTTTCTATTCTGACATACTTTCTGGCATATATTCTATGTCTATGTCTATAACATTCTTTTTGACATTCTACCTGGCATCTATTCTGATTTTCTATCTGGATTTTTTTCAGGCATTCATTCTGGCATCTATTCCGACACTCTCTCTGACATTCTGCATGGCATCTGTTCTGACATTCTTTCTGGCATTCTATTTGACAATCTCCCTGTGTGAGATCTGGAGCTCGCGGTTGAGGCCCGGCTGTGCCCACTGAGATTTGGAGCTCGCGGTTGAGGTCCGGCAGTGGCTAGTGAGATCTGAGCTCGCGGTTGAGGTCCGGCAGTGCCCACTGAGATCTGGAGCTCGCGGTTGAGGCGGCAGTGCACACTGAGATTTGGAGCTCGCGGTTGAGGTCCGGCAGTGGCTAGTGAGATCTGGCTCTCGCGGGCAGTGCCCACTGAGATGAGCTCGCGGTTGAGGTCCGGCAGTGCACACTGCTGTCTGGAGTTCGCAGCTGAGGAGCTGGAGGAGGAGGAAGGAGGAAGGAGGAAGGAAGGAAGGAGAAGGAAGGAGAAGGAGGGAGGGAGGGAGGGAGGGAGGGAGGGAAGGAAGGAAGGAAGGAAGGAAGGAAGGAAGAAAGGAAGGAAGGAAGGAAGGACGGAAGGGGAAGGAAGGAAGGAAGGAAGGAAGGAAGGGAGGGACGGAGGGAGGAAGGAAGGAAGGAAGGAAGGAAGCAACTCTGATAAAATCTAGAGACCCTCACCTGGCAGGTGGGAAAAACATACTTCTGTTCGATATATACTATGAACATGTCCCGACAGCAAGAGACCACAGAATGAGTAAGGCCATGCCCCAATTATAAAGACATGGAACCACCCCTCGGGCCTGTCTGGGCCTTGGGATGCCGGGATGGAAAATCGACATTGGTTGGGTCTGAAAACAGGATTCATTTGGAATCCAAACATCGTAGGATATAATGGGTATACAACTCCCTCATCATGGATTGATGGATGACCATCCCATAATATGGATATACCGTATATACAATCCATCTTTTGACTCGACTCTCGCATGAACTCAGAGGTCCATAATGACACAGCCCCGGACTCTGGTGGTGGGGTCAGTGCATTTGAAACTATGGTGACTGAATATTGTGAAGGTCAAGAGAAGACCAGGGCCAACAATCGGAGCGCCCCAAGAGTTGGTATACGATAAGAACATGCATCATGCACATAATTGTAGTGTCACAAGATTTAACCCAAAGGGAAGTGGGAATCAAAACAGAACAGGAAGGGTGAGGAATCGCAAGGCGCGACCAAATTTTCAAGTGCCAAAGTAGGCAACCTCCTTTTTTTGGGGGGGGATTTAGCACCCCTAGCATTCCTCTGTTGCAGTCTCATGTAATTTGCGAAACGCTGCCTCGCACTATCCATCTTTTGACCATGGCACACGAAACGGCTGTGTGATTTCATGGGGATTCAACCAACCCTATAATGTTTGGGTTTTGTCAGGGCTTGTACAACCACCAACAGCCACCAATCAGGGATCATTGACAATCTTGAATCATGGGCGGTCGCCTTTACGGGTGCTGGTTGAGTCTACATGATAAAACCAGTTGTCCGTCTGGTTTTCCAAATGGGTCAAACTATGTCAAACTCATACAAAAAAAGGATAAGAACTATATTTGGTCGATATTTTAGTAACGGCTTACAACACAAAGTTCTGGCACCCCGGTGAACGTCTATGACTATGGCATGTTTGACTAACTCAGACGTCCAATTTGCCGCTGTTGAAACTTTAACCCCATGCACAAACGTTAGCCCCACCTTGTGATGATCGACCTATGCCCTATTCAAACCTAAAGTGTGATGTCCCCCTGTTCAAAGTCGCTTTGCAAACATGACTGGTTGGTGGTTGACCTACCCCTCTGAAAAATATGAAAGTCAGTTGGGATGATTATTCCCAATATATGGAAAAATAAAAATGTTTGAAACCACCAACCAGCTATTAAAATTTTACAAATAAAGGGAGATGTCCCCCTGTTCAAAGTCGCTTTGCTAACATGATATATCTACCAGAAGCATACACATATAAATCATATAAACGCAACATCTCACAAAACCAACTTAGCTAACGACCAGGGGGGCCACCATTGGTCGCATGCACCAAGTGACGTCAATCTCACCGATGTCACCGGAAGGGCGGCGCAGGGCCGGTTCGTTGCGTTCGTCGCGTTCGTGCTGGTCGCGAAACTGGTCGCGGCGCGTTCGTCCGGCGCGGTAGTGGGCGGCTCGGTGGGGGTTTAGGGCTATAGTTACCAGCAACAAATCACTGATAAAGGCTTATGAACCAGCTACATGTATGGCAGGGTTCAACTTCAGAGGTTGAAATAAGTCATGATGGAATCCGAAAAAAAACCTAAGCAACTACTGTTGGTAATAGCAAGTGCGGAATATAGACTGTAAACGGAGAATGCAAGCTCTACAGGGATTTGACAAAGTCATGCCTAAGTCACTCCTTTCGCTTTCCCCGCTTGTGAATGCAACATCAAGAAGTCATGCCTAAGTCATGCCTTTTGGTCTTCCCCCAATATGATAAGTTTCAATGGGCACGCCTCTCACCGAACTATTGACAATGGCACCACCATTGAGATTGCAATCAATACCTTACAGGGTTAAGTAGAATCATGTCAACAATACACTGCCCACAGCGATGAAACAGTATTCAAATCAATAACAGCCTTAGCACGTTCACAACGCAGAACGCAAAACGTACGTTCTGGAACGCGTGTTCCGAACGCAGTGGTGTTTTTAGTGGTTTTATGGATCCCAGAAGCGTCCGAATCCTTTTTTTTGCTCCCTGCAAAAAGGATCCACTCTAGCACATGGAGTTTCTCAAGAAGTTTTCAAGCAGTCCAGGAGCAAAACTTGCAGGCTTTAACCTGCACAATTCTTTTAATAAAACCAGGCAAAAAGAGGATCCGTCTTTGGCCTGCCGAGCGCTTTTTAAAGGCCCTAAAAAAAGGATCCGTGTTTGGCCTGCCCAGCGCTTTCTAAAGCCTCTAAGAAAAGGATTCCATCTTAGGCCTGCCCGACCTAAGGCTTTTTGTCCAAACGGTTCTTCTCAGCAACACAAAGCAACATCAAACCCTAGAAAAATCCTTTTAATATCTCATATATCCCCTTCACACTAACTCTTATCCACTTATCCACTTAATTATCAATCCAAACATATCCCATCAAGGATCAAGGTCCAAGTCATGGCCCAGATCGCTGATCAGCCTTCTGGTGGCTGCATCTACCATTTTGAGCCCACAAGAGCTCCACATCCTTTTTTTAGTGGGGGAAAAAGGTTTCTCTGTTCAAACCCCGGAAATAAATTGACTTTATATCATTGGAAAAAAGGATTCACTCAGAACGCGCGTTCTGGAACGCGAGTTTTTAAAACGCGCGTTCTGAACGCCCAAACGTACCGAACGAACATGCTAAGATAACAGCCAGTCAAATAAAGAAAAGAACTATCAAAATCTAAACGAAACACTGCGCGCACGCAGGTGTGATACGACTTCAGGTCACTTGGAATGACGTAAGCCTAGTGGTAGTAGTTCAGAAGCAATCCAGCAGCAGTTTGGCAGTAGCCAAACTGCAGCAACTGAGCAACAGCCAGCAATTGAGCAGCAGTTTAACAGTAGTTGCTAAATACAATTGGGCATACAGAAGTCACTGATAAGAAAGCAGCTGCAACAAAAAAAGTTTCCCCCCAACTGAACGCAACAAAAACTACATATACCCAAAGCATAACTAGATATCTAAACCCAAGCTGAACGGAAGAAAAAACACAAAAACACTTAAAAACATGGTTGCGCTCTGATCACCAGAGTTTGCTTGCGTTTTCCAAAAAAGCACGACTTCCAGGGAAAGCTTCGACGCAACTAAATATAGACATTTCTTAAAAAAGGGAGCGACTTTGTCGATTGCCTGTAGCCTATGCAGCCTATACTAACAATTCCATATGCTTCATCTATGTTTGTATGGTATATCGGTATATCTTAAACATATATACACCATTGTTCGTGGTAAATGCTGATAAATGTCCTGTGCAGGGAGCATATGAAAGAAGGAATGCGGGTGATGCATCCACTGCATCAAGACTGGTGACATCCACATTTCCGGGAAAACTTCTTGATGCAAATTCAGGAATCTGTCTTTATGTTTTCAATCAGTTTCAGTGGTAAAAGGGGCAAGTTGGCCAAAAGGTCTTTCTACATTCCTACATTGGGAAGATTTTGGTTGCTGTGGCTTTCGGAGTAACAGTGACAGTCTCTCCCTATGTGCTGGCTATGTACAATACATTTGCACAGTTACCAATGACAAGTCTTTTCTCTCCATTTGCAGCTGGCGGTATGTTCACTATTCACTGACAATCTTCAACACCATGCAAAACATGCTTCAGATAAAACCATTCTCATCATGTATCAATTATATCCATTATCATTGATTCATGCCCATATAATCATATCTATATATGTACTATAGTTAATATATATATATGATACAGTATATAGTATACAGTATAATTTAATGTATCTATATAGTATACAGTATAATTTAATGTATCTATATAGTATACAGTATAATTTAATATATCTCTAGTACGTTTTTCTACATATCCATTTATGTTCATCCTTCATTTGTCATCGTTTCTATCCGTTCAGAACCACCGAACCACCACCGTGGTGCCTTAGAACTTGCGCAGCCTGCGCTTGCGCGTTTTTTGCATCGCCTCGCGACGCCGCAGGCCAGAGTTCTGAAGGTTCAACCATCAAACATGGATGATACCCTCTGGTAAACCAACATAGCTATAGAAGATGGCCATAGAAATAGTGGTTTTACCATGTTTTACCCATGAAACATGGTGATTTTCCATAGATTTTTGTATGTTTATCATAATCTAAGAGACTAATTAAGGTTTTACCAATTGAATCCAGTTGAAATGGGGGTTTCATAAATGGGGGCACCCCCAAATGGAAGATATATAATGGAACATCCTATTAAAAATGGATGATTTAGGGGTACGACTATTTCAGGAAACTTCCAAATGACTATTGAAACACATTTAAATCATGAACATGTTGATTTAGATAGGTAAGTTATGGTAAGTTGGTCTGCAACTTGGCAACCTTTTTGGTTTATGAAAGATATCTCGGTAATGAGCTGTGCGTATAAAACGGGCTGATACGTGGCAGGGCACATGACTTTCGGTAACCGGTGACTGGTAGGGGGGGCTTCAACTTTGGTCTGGAGTTCCCTGTTGCTTTAGAAAGAATTAATCCAAGAGCAGTGACGCTTAAAATTGAAAATGCCACCAGAACACCCAACAAAGATTTTAAGCATGGAACATCATGCAAGATATTTGTAACTGACATTGCCATATTTACTAACCTGAAAACAACCCGTCTTTGGGATGATTTCCCTCCATTTTTGTGAGCTCCTGGGGAGAGAAACATGCAATAGCTATAATAAGTTCAGATGCAATATCCAGTTAGCTCACAATGACCCAGTTTTAGACATACATAATTTATATCTCTAATCAAAAATATTGATATAACCAATATTCATATTATATGATTATAATTATATATATAATCTATATTACATTACATATTATATATATACATACATACTCACAAAATTAATCATAATTACACACATACATTTACATATTATACACGGACTATGCCGTCCTTCGCCACTTTCAGAGCTCCCGAAGCTAACATTCCAAAAACCCCGTCCGCCTGGTCGCAGACACGACGGTGTCGTGGTGTAAACCTGCGACGCTCCCGTCAACCCTCCATAAAGGGTCCAACAAAATGGTGGTACCATGCGGATTGATTCATGCGAAATTCTGGGATCTACGCTCTGGTTATGACTAACATAGCCATGGAAAATAGCCCATTGACATATGTTGTTTGATGATTTACCTATTAAGAATGGTGATTTTTCCCAGTTCGCTACGATAAATAACCAGAGGGGATTTATGGATTTATGGATTGATCATGAAATATATGAAGCATATCAGAAAATCCATACAATGGGGCCCCCCCCAAACGTGATGTGAATGTTGCTTTAGATTCGCCCCAGTAACTAGTTCGTTATTTGCGTACCATAAACCATAGTTATTGGAGTTATGTTCACCAACTTAGCTAAGTTACCCTCTGGTTATGCCAACAGTTTGCTATTGAAGCCATGGCCCAGTTGAAATAGTTGATTTACCCATTGATAGCATGGTGATTTTCCATAGTTATGTTAGTTTGCAAGAGGGTATATGTCCAACGGGGGCCTCACATTGTAGTATACCAAAAAAAATGGTGTAGCGCGAACACCCCGGGATTAAACCAGCGAGAATTTTGCCAGTTTATCACGGGAGACATCTGTTACCCGAAATGGTTTCAACATACAAAAAACGATGGAAAGATCCACTTTTTTTAATGGGTAAATCATGGTAAGTCCACTATTTCGACTATGTTCAATAGCTTTCTGTATATGTTTACCAGAGGGTATAATCCACAATACGTAGTACTGGTTGGTGGTTTGAACGCCTCTGAAAAAATCATGGACTTCGTCAGTTGGGATCATTATTCCCAATATATGGAAACATAAAAAATGTTCCAAACCACAAACCAGAAATTGAATAACAACCTCACGTCGCGACGAAAAATGGATAAAAATGGCATGTTTGGTGGAGGCAACTCTCCAATCATGACCAACCAATTCAGGTCAGAGAAGTATTCTTATTAGTCGAGACTGGATATGAATACGCACATAATTTGGGATATCCCAATTATAAGATACAACCATATACAACCGTACTATAAAATATACAGTAACTGTTACTATTCTGGGCAAATTATAATAATTCGCTCTGAAGAGTTACGGGACGTTTGGGGATGCCTCTCTCATACCCAGTGACGTACCCCGCCGTTAAAGCCACTGGTTGAGGATCACCACTTCCCTATTGCAAAGCCAAAGGCAAAAAAAAATGGGAAAAAATGTCCCGCTTTCAGACGAAAGCATGTGGTGATGACAACATAATTTCATCGCCATGTTGTTTTTTAAAGATAATAGAATGCCAAATGGCAAGCACTGATGAATGGGTTGATACAACACATTGCAAGGATTGAATAAGGGATGAGAACAATCATTGTAGATCCACCACTTAGAAACCAACGCAAGTCTACCCATGTGTAGATAGATTAATAATATCTAGGAGCGGTAAGTCCTCCAATCAAGACTATCACATTCACAATGAGAACCACAATATTACAAACTAGCCAATAACTACCAAACAGTTACCAAGTGGGATGAATATCCAGCAATGATGGAAAAGGTTTCCTCGTTGATTTCCCGAATCTTACAGGTGAGATATCAACAACATCCTTGTGTTGTTTTGGCCATGACTCAGGCGATATCCCACGGAAAATACCTGATATACGGCAATTGAGGATCATCCTTTTACAGTAAATAGCAATGCCTACCCTCTGGTTGTTTAACATATCGAACTGGAAAATCACAATGTTCTGGTTGGGTAAATCATCATAAATCATCTATCAATGAGCAATTTTCCATAGCTATGTTCAATTACCAGGTACCCTCCAGTAATTTGGCATAGATATGAGAAACACACCATTTGTATGTCATTTCCCAGGGGAAACCTATGGATTTCAGGAGTTTTTTATCTGACGTTCTGATCCATGCTTAGCTGGGTGCCTGGTGATCTAACAGATGCACTCACAAAGACGGGCCGAAGAACCCTAAATGGTGAAAAAACATGTGGTTAATCCGAGTTAAAAACCCCTGGTCAATCCTAGGTATGATAGTTATGGCAGACCCAGTTGTATTATGATTAACTATTATGTTATATTTAGAAATGTCGATGGCTTCCTTAACTCGCTGCCCATACTTGCACAACACTTCCCTTGAAGCCTGGTCCTACTGCTGATTGCTTCACCATTTTCGACTTGTTCCATCCCAACCCATGACAACCTGCACGGCCGCGTGTGGCGCCGTCATGGGCGTCGTCGGCGCGGGCACTGGATGCGTCCCCGTCGTCGGCGCCGTCGTCGGCACTGGCAGCGTCTGCGCCGGGCGCAGCAGCCGCGGTGTAGTGCAGCGGGGCGAGGTGAAGGGTGTCACCTCAACGGCTTCAATCGGCTGTGACCGCTTTGCCAACATACGAACCGTCTATACTTAAGCCAAACATGAACTAAATCATCATGAAATAACACATCTATAAAGGACCTCAAGATTCATCAAGATTCTATTTCCACTCTTGGACAATTCTCTTTTTGGGGCGGAAGTTCAATGGGTACCATGTTTCACCATGCTCTGGGCGTCCCCAACTCCTGGCGGCAGCGTCATACTGCCACTCACCGCCAGCAAGGGTGCCGCGGGCGCAGGCACCTGGGCAACAAGGCAAGGAACACCTGCAAGGCTGGCAGCTACTTTTATCCATCCATCCATCTACATGCATGTATGATGTCTTGTATATGTTTTGTCTATCTGATTATCTGTCTATCTTTGTATGTATATACATATATAATTAATCAAATATATATATATAATAAATAAATACATATATATATATATTAAATGTTGTTTGTTTGTTTCCTAGGATTTTCATGAACGTTGATAGCTCCCATGATCAAGTTGGGTCACTGGGAGATCCTCAATGAGTCATCCCCAACAAAATTGTTGGAACTTGGAGTGTATTTGATCGTTTGATATGTTCACCTGGGCTACAACTGAATTGTTGATAATATGTTAACAAATAACTCATTGAAAAACTGTGCAGCTATGTGATCATTATATTATGTATATACACTGTCACTTGGGGCATAAACCATTGCATAATTTGATATCTTAGCTGCAAAGATGTCAGTTCCAACTCGATCCGGTATAGTCTGAAAATAGGGATACCACCAAATTTGATGGTGGAACAGCAGTTTACCTAATGAATGACGAAAAAAAATACCATTTGGAAATATTTGGAAGGTATACCCCATTGTCGGACACATCCATACCCCTTCGAGATGACTTTTGAATGGGTCTGGAGCAAACATGGAATTGAAGGATGCGAGGTTTGATTCCAAGTGCTTGACCAATGTAAAGCTGAAAGAAGAGTTAATATCAAACAATATTGCATCTTGACGTTTTGTTGCACGATTCGCGAGACTTCTCAAGACTGGCAATGACAGTAATTACATGTAATTACTACAGATACGCTAGTAGGGTTGTAGAAACCTTTTGGATACATTGATCATAGTGGATCTGCTATCGAAACCACTGTTTCAATCAGTTGTAACCCTTGTGTGTCCACGATATCCACTTGCAACTCCAGCATGAACCTTCTGATCTCATCACTAGCATTCTATGGGCACGGGCTGATGTGAAACGCAAAACCACAAACTTGGGCATGTTTCCGCACATACAGCAAGTCAACCGTCACCATCGATGACGGTCTTCTGCTCAACGTCGCAATGAGCTGGGCCAGACTAGCGGATATACCAGCAGCTTTTCTTGAGTGGAAACCATGGACCCAGTCAAGAAAATGCGGAGAAAATGGTCCAAATGAAAATCCAAATGGAATAATATCTATTGCATATAATATCTTCGAAAAATAGTGACAAGGTTCTTTGGCATTCCCTATCATTTCTGAAATAATGTTAGTAAAACAATAATAAACCATCCCCAATTTCACCATAAGTAGATGCTATAAACCATTCCCAGTCATGGCTGGTTGATGGCATTGTTTTACCCCCGTGAATTCCAGTTCCGTAGATCCAGTTGATGCAAAATCACTCTTCAAACAAACCCCACGAACCGTCTGGTGTTGTTCCTGGCAGCTCACCGCAGTTTTACCATGGTGAGAAAAGCCAACCCATTTGATAATTAAAAACCATACATATTTACGTATACATTACATACACACACACATATATATATATATATATATATATAATTACCTGTAAGTCTAAGTCTGTTTGAAGTGTATACCGTATACCCGTTTTTTTTCGCGGGTAGCGGCTTCCATATTGATGGGAACATCTATCTGGTTGGGCAAACCAGCAGCTGGGCTACCAATGCCAGGTTCATAGGCTTCCCCATGCCCGATTCGTTGCGGATACCAAACCTGTAAGCTATATGGTTGCACAATGGAATGGCCAATGATCAATGGGAACTCGCCAGCAACGATCAAAATGTCACCGGTGGAAAAGGAGGAGTGGGAAAGATTGAAGACCCAGCGACTTAACCATCACAAATATGAGAGTTTTCGACTGAAATAAGAAGATCCTTCTAAAATCGAACATGTACATCTTCCATACACATATTCCATATACAAAGTCCAAATTTTGATATATCACATAAACATGTGAATCAATTAGACACATCAACAACTCAACTTATCCATTAGCAACCCCAAATCATATATCATACCTTCGCCACGTAACGAAGCCCACGGCACCGCGGCGGCTGCTTGGAGCTTCTTCACTTCCAGCTCCTTCTGCTGCAGCTGCGCCTCCTGCGGGGCAAAAATGGGGCAATTGAACATCCCAACATGCTGGGATTCTACTACAGTGCCCAACGAACAGCTATTTTTATCGGCTTAGTTCATGACATATAACCTCAAATTATTGGAGTTTTGATCCCATTTATAACTGCCAAGTAACTTGTGAAGGAGTACTTGGGGTATGATTTTGGGGGCCAGGTACCTCTTCTGAAAGGATTTGGATCCATCAGGTTTATACACATGAAATTGAAATGAATCATACACGTTCTATATACATAGACAGCTATGATACTTATTAGTTGTATACTATATACCTACTACATTCCCATAGCAAAGTTTCCGGAAAAAACAAATTTAGGCCTCAATGCGTTTTCATGTCATGTATTGAATCATACCTGAGAAACCTGTATTCTTTTGATTGGATAGGGCTAGACATGGGACAACTGGAGCATAGGAATCTTGCCAGCATTGGGACGCAACTGCCCCAGACACTCACTAGACATGCCCCCCATTGCATCATGTGAATGTAACGATGAATCAGAGGAATTTGAGTGCCCTATTTTCCAGAAAACCCCGGATTGACCCCATATCACAAGCCCATTTATAGATCATTTTCCCACAAAAACCATCAAATTACCGGGGATTTCCTATTGCCAGATTGGAGTACCGGAGGTAACTATCATACACGGGCAGTGTTCACCGATCCGGTCGTCCTTATTTCTCAGTTCCAGGCGCAACCTGCCGCTGAATCATCAGTTCCATCTACAAAGCTGAGATTTCAATACGCACCCTTTGGTAATCAAACATGGCTGGAAAAAACCGTAAAATTGGAGCTTTAGTTGGCGAAAACCATCCGGGATGTTCAATTTCCATGTTTGATTGCCCATTTCAAATGTGTTCAAATGCGGTCTGAAAGCGAAGGACAAGACCAATCAAAATGATCATGGAAGAGGCCACATTTTGTTGATTTTTGTTTTTTGTTGTGTTGATTTCCGAGATAGGGGGTGTGAGCTGTGTGAAATCGAACAAATCTCAAGTGTCTTTTCATGTTATTATATAGTATGCCCTAAAAAAACGATGTTCTGATCCTGCATCATGATCCTCCCAGGTAGGAGGGTCCCCAAAGGGTTACATGTAGCATTATCACTATTGGAAACCACCTGCCATAAGGTCATAGTGAAAACAAGTTGATTCCCAACCATTTCGGAGCTCCTGAAGCTGGGGTTCACGCATGCCATAGAGTAACGATGATTAGGTGATTCAAGAAGAAACACCAATCACACACAAGTTACCCAGACACATCTGGACTCGGAGTTCAAAAACACTCAAACTGGGACATGGTTCAACATTTTCCAGATGGGTTTATCCAAAAAAAGAGGATGCAATAAAAGGACCTGATGACCCCACAAGTCAACTTCTTCCAATAATCAGAAAAAGTGGTTGCAGTGGCACAGAGAAAGAAGAAAAGACAAAGGAGATGGTGGAGGGTCAATCATTTTAAAAGTTCTATTTCTATGTGAAGAGTTGTGTGTGAGAAAGTTGTGTGTGTGTGTGAAAGAGTTGTGTGTGAAAAGTTGTGAGTGAAAGAGTTGTGTGTGAAATATTGTCTGTGACAAAGCTGCGTGTGAAAAATTGTGTGTGTGACAAAGTTGTGTGTGAAAGATTGCGTATGACAAAGTTGTGTGAAAGAGTTGTGTGTGACAAAGTTGTGTGTGAGTGACAAAGTTGTGTGTGACAAAGAAGTGTGTGAGAGAGAAGTTGCATGTGAGAGAGATGTGTGTGAAAGATTGTGTGTGTGTGACAAAGTTGCGGGTGACAAAGTTGTGTGTGAGAGATGTGTGTGACAAAGTTGTGTGTGACAAAGCTGTGGATGACAAAGTTGTGTGTGAGAGATGTGTGTGACAAGGTCGTGTTTGAGAGAGATGGACCCGCTTGCAGCGTGGATGTCACCAAGTGCCACGCCTGCCACGCAAAACGCCCACGCGCGCAGCAGCTCCTCCAGGAGGCTCTGTGTACTGCATCTGCCACACGGCAACCAGCCGCGGGCCGACGGTGACCACGCGCGCAGCAGCTCCGCCAGGAGGCTCTTTGTATGGCGCCTGCCCACGCGCGCAGCAGCTCCTCCAAGAGGCTCTGTGTACTGCGCCTCCACACTTAGCTTGACATGTGTGATGAGTTGGTGTGAGAGCCATGTGTGGTGTGAGATGTGTGTGATGAGCGTGGTGAGAGCTAAGTGCTGTGTGATGAGCTGGTGTGAGAGCCATGTGTGGTGTGAGTTGGTGTGTGAGCTGAGTGCTGTGTGATGAGTTGGTGTGTGAGATGTGAGAGGCTAAGACGAAGCGGCGCGGCGGCGGAAGGCGGAAGGCGGAAGGAGGAAGGAGCGCGGGTGCTAAGCGAAAAACAAGAACCCCACACAGTGATGTGGGGAAAAACACTCATAAGTTCATTATCACATTCCAATTGAAATTGCAACAACTGGGGAATCCTCCAAATTCACCATCGAGGCAATCCCGATTTTAACAGCTTAATGTTCCTCATGAGTATTTGAGATTAAAATTCATGATTTATCCCAATTCTTGCGGGGTAGAGTAACAACAATTTTTGAGTTCATCAATCATCTATCAAAGGTCAAGTTTCATCAATTTGCCATATAGCTATATTTCCCAAATGCTCCATGTATGGTATATTTACCAACATTTACATTAAAATTCACCCAGTCATGTAGGTAAATATACCAGCACCATGGAGCATATAGGCTAACATAGCTATTGAAAATAGCCATAGAAATAGTGAGTTTTCCATGAAACATGGTGATTGTCCATCGTTTTTTGTATGTTTACCAGGCCGGGTACCATACCGGGTATAGGTTGAATCCAGAGAAACCTCCCGATACCTCCCGACGCAAGTCGACCGAGTCGTGACAGCAAAAACGGGTTTCGAAACGCCTCTGGATTTCATCGTCCTGTCCTTTTCGCATGGCCTAGGCCGATTCGACCAAGCGCTTGGAACGGAATCTGTGCTACAAAAGTGCTCCCCCAAAGGTGAGGCAATACCTCAATTGATGGCAATCTGAATATACATATAATTGTAGTTCTGTATGATGTATGTATATATATATATATGAAGATTAAATATGATAAATCATTGGATTCTAAAGTTCATGGCCTTGATCGGGGCTATCTACTCTGACAAGATCAAAACAAAAGTACCCTGAAGCCGCAAGATTATCAAATTGCAAGGGTATTAATGGAATTGTGCCCACAGCAAAACCTTAGGTTGGTAGTTTGTAGCCTCATTTTTTAATATTATGAATGTTTAGGTTGTTCAGAGCCAATCGAAACCTTCAAGCGCAATGCAAGAGGAGATCCGCTGTATGGATCATAATGGATCAAGACGTTGAGCTCCCAACCCTATACGGAAACCTTCTAAATCTCTGGAATCAGTGCGGCTTGCTGTCCAGCAAACCAAAATCCTTCTATTTTTCCCGGAAACCATTTCAAGAAACAGTATGATGAACTATCTGAGGCATCCACTCAAGAATTGCTTCAGTCATGATCTTAGTTTACCAATTCAAATTACACACGCGAATAAACATCCACAACTACCAACTGTCTTGCTGTGGAAACCAACGAACCAAAGGGGCCATTCAAAACGGAGAGAGCAAACGGAATCTCACTGATGTCCGAAAAAGCCGGGGAAGTAGGTGACAAGGCCGGTGATGTCGGCATTGTTCTGGCCTTCTTCTTCTCCTTGGAAGTTTCCTTCTTCTTGTCTGGCTCAGAAGAAGGTCGTGGAGGATAGTGGTACCCCCAATAGAAATCACCAGAGTCAGTGTAAATTTTCACTTTCCCATACCGTTCCAGCATCAGGGCTGCCAAGGCGTCATCATCCTCCAATCTTCGTTTTTTTCTTTTCTCCTCCTTCTGCTCCTGTTCCTCTCGCTCCAGAATTTCCATTCTGAGTCTGATCTCCTCTAATTCCTTTTCATCCTGCATGCGCTTCTCATTGAAGCTATCGGTGAGCTCCTTCAACTTCTTTGTCTCTTCCTCAAGCCGCTCAACTAAACGTGCATTTCTTTGTGCATCCTCAAGAGCCCTTCTTGTTCGGTCGCACAAATTGTCGACCACTTTTCTCCTCCGAATGTATGTAAATGTGTTAAAGTCATTTAGTGTCCTGGTACCCTTATATCCCCTTCGCACTTTGTACATTCACAATGGAAGATTTGATTGGATTTCAATTGTGCCAGAAGCCTTCCAGTCAGTAAGTAGTTAAAAAACCCAGGAAAACTGAGTTGTACCTGGGTTCCATCGTATTCAAAAATAGGTCACAATATGTGAACTAAAAACACCAAAATAAGCATGCCATTAGCCAAATGCGAACTAGTTCTACGTAATTCCCATACTAGAAAATTGATGGTGGCTAAGCCATGATATCAACCGGCTAGTAGGGGGCGGCGCACATCCAAAAATAAAGAAAGGCCCGTATCATCGGTGGCTGAGAACAGCACATGTCATCCCTACGAGGAGCATCCCAGGAAGTGGTTGATAACCCTGGTTAGTAAGTCCCCTCAATGGTTCATCCCATTTAAAGATGCGATACTGTGGTAAACCGAATTATTTTCGCTTACCATTGGTGATAATTATCAGCCATTTATGATGATATTCAGGATGGTTTATGATTTTATTGGCTTTACCATATTATAATCATGATATCCCCATTTTATGATATGAATGTTTATTATTTTATTGGGTTTACCATATTATAATCATTATATCCCCATTTTATGATATGAATGTTTATTATTTTATTGGGTTTACCACATTATAATCAACATATCCCTATTTTATGATATGACTGTTTATGATTTTATTGGGTTTACCACATTATCAATGGGAATTCCAGGATCCTAAAATGGAGGTACTGTACCATATAAGGCCATGTTTTGTGGGGATATTCCCTCACATAGGCCTGACAAATAGGCCTTATATATGGTAGGTACTTCCAATTTAGGTTCCTGAAATGGCCATTGACATCATTATCATGATAACCCCATTTTATCCCTCCAATTCTGGTCATTCCTCAGCCTCTTCAAATCGAAGACGCGCCTGCGCCTCAGCGCGCAGTTGAGCCACTTCACCCTGGCGAGGCGATGGCAAGGCAACGTTCAGGAGGTTTTTAGTGGCTATTTGGTTAATATATGGTTAATATATGGTTAATATAATCTATATTTATATATACCTACCTGGTTGGTGGTATACCTACCCCTGAAAAATGATGGATTTCATCAGTTGGGATGATGAACTTGATGATCTTCCCAACTGAATAAAAAGTCATAAAATTCCATGGTTCCAAAGCACCAAATTGGCTATCTATATAGAGGTAAAATGTAGAACTTACTCTCCTTGTGGCTATCATGTACCTAGAGTGGCTTGGAGCAACCCTCACAATACTGCCCGAAAAAACATGTGAATGGTGACTATGACAGTATGAAAGTGCTACTGTTACCCCTGAGATGATGTTGCAAATGCACTTCCTGGCCACTTTGAGGGTCTTGCTTGGCTATAATGTACTGTAATGTGGTTTACCACTGGGAAAATAAATGGGATTTTTACGGGTTTATGGTGGATCTGCTGGGTGCACTTAAAATCCAGGGCACCACTTGGCACACAAACCTATATTGGAGCAATGCCTGGTTGGTAGTTTCAATCTGTCGGAGAACTCGCCCGGGATTGACATCGCATGCCATGTTACAAACCATACTCCAAGGTGGTGCCCCATAGTTAGCTAACTTGGTTTATAAGTCCAATAACTAGGGTTGATTTGGGGGTTATATATATATAGTTAATGGGGATTATAAACCAACAAACATCACTGGGGGGTATCACCTTGTTAAAACCGACTGCAATCTATGCAGCAGAGCCCAACGTTGGTGACCCAGGATGGAGGTCTTGGAGACCTGCAATTTAGTGATGTGCTATAAATACGTAGCTGCGAGTGCTAGATCCTATCCAGCATCATTGAGAAAATCATGACTCCCATTAAACATAATATATAAACCTGATGTTTACCACGAAATAATGTTGCCCATCAATCAAAATAGACATAAATAGACTCTACAAGCTGACCCGGACTCAGCTGTCAATGGGAATCCCTGCTGTCACAAATCGGAAAATCATTTTGTCAGCTGATAATTGCCAGCTCACCCTCAGCTGATCAAATTTATCACCTGACTTCAGGACTTGAACCTAATGAGGGTCAAGTGACAGAATATTCCATCAACAAAAATCATGATTGAAGCTCCAACCGGCTACACGATGATGGGCCATGGGTTTAGTTAACTGATTAGTATAATGTCAACCCCGGATTAATAAACCATAGTTTTTAACTAGGGTGGTACTTCCCCAATAGTCATAATCTAATACATCTTTATGATACCCCAATTAAACAGCCGTTTGGGGTTTATTAATCCAGGGTTGACATTACGAAATATATTTGGGTAAATTCATAACCCCGTCTAATTATATCATATCCAAAATAAACATCATATGAATTATACCTGAATTATACATTATATGTATATCTTTGAGGATTTGCTTCCAGACTTATATATATATATATATCCTAGATTATAATGTATTATATGTAATATATATATATATATATATCATATATACTATATAATGTCAAGTCAGGATCAATCAACACCCCGTTCTTAATCAACCTCCTCCTCCCAATTTTTTGCAATTTAAAAACAGGTGGTCCCCCAGGATTAATAAACCGTTTGGCTAGGAAATGATGAATCAACCCCCTGTGCTGAAATCATTTTTTTTATCCAACAATTTTTATTTCCAATTCTATTTATTTCCAACTGTTTTTTACATTTTTTTAAATCTTCATTGTTATACTTAAGAATTAAGTTGATCATTGAAAATTTCAAGACACAACTATTCCACAAACGATCGATTTCTAATTAAATTCTTTATAAAAATCATCAGTTTGGATAGCTCTCAAAGAGTACCCCCCATGAGCCATGTCCCCGAATTAATAATAATCAGGGTTTGCCCCTGATTAATCAACCACAATGTCCCTAATGTTTTTTTTTGGGATTTGCCTATTCATTCCCAATGTCCCCCATAGATTTCAGCCAATTGACGTAAGCCATATCCATAATTTTATGGTTCAGAGGCCGTTTATTAAGGGGTGCTTAAGGCGGGGACCTACAAGGTAGAGTTCTGACCTTCTGGGGGGGTTTATTAATCCGGTGTTGGCATTATATCATATATTGATCCGGATTTTCTTCCATGATTGATTGGTTTAATGGATATATATATATACCAGGTTAATGGATTAATGGACTATAATTAATACCCCAGATTTGATTACTGGATTTATTTGGGATGGCAGCATGTTACCAGCTGATCCCATGGCTGATCCCATGGCTGAGCTCGCCAGCTCGCTCGCCGCACCTCCAGCGCCGCGTTACGCGTGCGAAAGGTTGCCACCTGCGCCTCCAGCGACCTTTCGAAAAGGGTCAACGACTGTGGTGAAAAAATGGAAAAAACATTGGGAAAACTATGGTGAACATTCGAAAAATGTCTTTACTCAAATACAATGGTGAATATATGGGTAAATCATTGATGATTTTTGAGTATACAATCGGGGTGTATTGAGATGTATGTAAACTGTGGTTAAAACACATGTAGTTGATTGACATATTTCTTATCTAATTGACCATAATTATAGCCACACCACTTGTGGATAATGAGTTTGGTTTATAGTTAGCAATGCACATGATATACTTGGGGGTTGTTAACAGAATTGGGGGATATTCATTGCAAAATAGTTTGGGGAAATTTGTTACCACTCTATTTATTGGGCAACTGTGGTTTCTTGGGGATTGTTTGGGTAAATATCCAAGTAAACACCGTCAACAATCCCAAAGAACGAATTGCAGGTAAATATCCCCAGAGTATTCCAATAACTTGCCCACAATAGATATTACCATTTTCAATAACTATGTCAAATTAACAAAGGGTATGGATTATTGTTTTTCACTGTTTTCATGCGAATCAAGATCGCATCTTTGATCTTCAAAGTCATAGCCATCTCGCGTTCACAGTAAACTGGGTATACTGAGTAATTCACAAATCTCAATTATGACACAAATTATAAGAAAAATACAGAAGTATATGTCTTGGGCAGTTACTCCATAAATATTATATATATATACACATACACATTGACATACACAAAACACATAACACAATTAATGAAACCACTTAGGAATGATTCGTCGATTCCCTATATGTAAACCATCATTGTTTGGTGGCCAGGTCACATCAAGATCCCTGGCCTGATATTGCCTGCCTGGTCCTCCTGGCGTTGCGTTGAACAGCGGCAGCAACTGATGGTCCATCAGATTAGTCAAATTTGCAAGCTGGGGTATGTATGAAAGAATGTATCTTCTGTATCCATACGGCATCCTGATACATATATATATATATATATCTACATACAAAATAATAAATATATATATATATGTGTTACATTGTAAATTGTAAATCGGTATATATATATATACATATATATATATGTTGTGTTTGATGTGAGGGACACCCATATATATAATGAAATATAATGATCTGATATGCATTATGTGAATATGTTACAAGTTCTTTGATGAATCAGGCTATAGATCCATACACTGGTCTGGCTACTTGTGACCTGAGGCCGATGAACCTTCCGCTGGTGTGGCTGGAAAATCCCCCATTGTTCATTGCTGTGTTTGATGGCCGGAGGCAATTTACCCTCTGGTAAAGATACAAAAAACTATAGAAAATCACAATTTTTAATGGGTAAATCCACGAACTAAATGGGCCATTTTCAATAGCTATTTTGACATAAACAGAGGGTACATCTTTAAACATGACTTTTATCCAACATCAGGACGGGCCGCGATTGAGGCAGGGCAAAACAGATAGATAGATAGATAGATAGATAGATAGATAGATAAAATACATAAAATACATAAAATACATAAAATACATAAACATGTCTATATAGGTGTGATGTATATATGTACAGTGTATTTATATATATGTGATATGATTATATATGATTATATATGATTATGTATGTATGTATGTATGTATGTATGTATGCATGTACATGGCGTCTCTATCAACTAAGTTTGTTGGTAATCTGATAAGTCGGTTTATCTTCTCCGATTCTGTAGATTAATCTCCACCCACCATGGATCCTATTGCAGTGATAAACCAGCTCAGCTATGTTGGGGCCCACGAAATGTAGATTGATCCTGGATTCTATACAATGTTCTTGGCATACAAATCCCACTATGTTTGACTAATTCGATACATCTACTTTTAAACCCAGTGAACTATTGATGACCCTTAGCCAACTTAGAAAACGAACTGGGGCATTTCCGCGAACCTGTTATGGTACAGAAATCCACCATTTTCCCTCTCGAATCCCATTGAGATCCCTCCACCACCTCCACACTCGACGCTTTCTGCGAGCGAACGGCAGTTCCCGGGGTCTCTTGCGAGCGGCTGCGGCGCACGCCTCGGGATGACGTTGAGAAATGGTTTAAAAGGCCGGTTTTAGTGATGAAACGAAGCATAGTGGAATTCGAGCACCACAACCTAAAATTAACCACCATTCGTTTCAGAGAACGAGGACTTTTGAGAATGAAGATGAAATTTATGGAGGGATTTAGTTTCAAGCATCAAACATTGAAACTCAACCAACAAAGATGGGGACTACAGGTTACAGGATTAAACATGATTTAAAAGCAGGAATGTAACCATCAAATCTTAGCATTCCCAGCAAGCATGAAAAGCAGAAACATGTTGCATAGACCAGGCGGGAAAACATTAACCAATCATGGAGATCAAACCAAGTATCGTGGCTAAATGGGTATATGATGATATACGAATGGAACATGAAATGATATAACACCACATCACTCTATAGTTTGGACGAATGGATAATCAAATCTATCGTAGATATAAACAACAATCTGGCAATACCAACTATGAAATGTGACCTTCATGGGGATATCATCACTGTATGTGGGGATAGTCCTCATGTCCAATGTGTTTATTCCCATGAAATAACGATTCCATACCCGTTGTTTCTGCTCAAGGGTCAGTTCACAAATCCCTCCGCTGTTTTTTTGCTGTCCGAGTTTGTTCCTCATTATCACTTGCTTTATTCAGTACTGGGGTATCATCAGTGTCCCTATGTTTCCTGGTGTTTTGAATCTATATGGCAATCAATTGTGATCATCATGTCAGGCAAGATGGACAAAAACATATTGAACACAGCAGCCAGTTCATACGCCAGTTCTGCCGTTTTAATCCCTTCCTTTGCAAAATGCAATCCCATATCATGTGTTCCTATGAACTGAACTTTTCTAACGGTCCACTTTCCAGAGAGAAACCCACCAAAAAAACAGAAATTGTTGACATCTGACTCTAAAATAGTGAAGAATTGAAACTATCTCCTTGGGGATTTTTATATTTGATATCTAAAACCCTTGGGTTTCCTCTAAGTTTTCTATCTTTACCGATCTTCATCTTGGCCCTGGCACTATGGTAAGGTTTGGCCGGGCCTGCTTGACTCGGCAGGCGGCCAGTGGCAGAGGCAGCGCGGGTGACCTGGGTCAAAGGGAGTGTGAAACACAAGTGTTCATTCTTGCTCTTACTCTGCCGAGGGTGAATATAAAGGACCAGGCCGAAGACTATCTGCAGTTGGTTCTGAGGTGGATCGGATATTTGGGTGACTCCAACTAATGCAATTAGTCTACCGGCGCCAATTGGGTGAACTTTGTGATGATGGGCTTCGCTTTCAAGGAGCTGCCACACTGCAGCTTGTTCGAGGCTGTGGTGTCGAAAAGCAAATGCATCTTGACCTCCACTCACTTTCCAGTGGCCAAATTCGCTGCCTTTAAACATGAAGGAAAGATGTATGGCTTGCCATTCCTCGAGGACTGGACCCGCACTCTGCATAGTGAGACCAGTTTCGTTATACCCTTCGTTCGGATTGAGCAATGGCAGTTAGTAGTCAAGCATGTATATGGCCATAGGCAACTGCAGTGTACGAAGAAAATGCTGTACCATTGTGGTATAGCTTGGCATTTGCGCTTTTTCTGCAATACGAACTGTGGCTAAACTATAGTCTGGGGGTCTGGGAGCTGGACCCTTGTTCGCCTCGAGTGTCTCGTTGCGTCATTGTCGGGTCGGCGTGGGGTCGTTAATTCCGTGTCTATGGGGGAAGCTGCAAAACCTCTCCTTTTCGAAGGTTTCCAAGCAGGTTGTCATGTCGTTTTGCGTGGCGGGCGTGGCACTTTGTGACATTCCAACCTGTTTGATAACGTGTCGAAAGTGTCAAAATTGGAGGAAGTCTCGCATGAAATGCTCGTTTTGCTGCGCCCACGTGTCTCGTCTCGAGTCTCTGGTTTTCTAGACACGTCGCCCTGTCTATGGGGGAAGCTGCAAAACCTCTCCTTTTCGAAGGTTTCCAAACAGGTTGTCATGTCGTTTCAGCCCACGAACCCGAATGCTCACACGTATGTTAATGGTACAGATGTCGAAACACATGGATATGCAGACACGCAGAACCTTTTTCTGCAATACTTTATTTGAACAGTCTTGTACATATTTCCCCTGTTACCAGTCTGCAGTGTGGAGTGGAAAGTGTGGCGTGTGGAGTGTGAAGTAAGGAGTGTGGAGTGTAAAGTGTGGAGTGGGGAGTGTGGAGTGTGTAAAGTGTAGAGTGTGGACTGCGGAGTGGAAAGTGTAGAGTGTGGAGTGTGGACGTGGAGTGTAAAGTAAGGAGTGTGGAGTGCAAAGTGTGGAGTGGGGAGTGTAGAGTGTGTAAAGTGTAGAGTGTGGAGTTTAAAGTGTGGAATGTGGAGTGCAGAGTGTGGAGTGTGGAGTGTAGAGTGTGGAGTGAGGAATGTGTGGAGTAAGGAGTGCACAGTGTAAAGTGTAGCGTGTAGAGTGTAAAGTGGAGTGCGGAGTGTGGAGTGTAAAGTGTGAAGTGATGCGTGTAAAATTTAAAGTGTGGAAAGAGAAGTGAAAAATGCAAAGTGTGGAGTGTAAAGTGTGGAGTGCGGAGTGTGGAGTGGAAAGTGTAGAGTGTGGAGTGTGGAGTGTGAAGTGAGGAGTGTGGAGTGTAAAGTGTGGAGTGTGCAGTGGGTAAAGTGTAGAGTGTGGTGTGTGGAGTGTAGAGTGTGGAGTGTGGAGTGTAAAGTGTGACGTGTAGAGTGAAAAGTGTGGAGAGTAGAGTGTAGAGTGTGTGGAGTGTAGAGTGTGGAGTGTAGAGTGTGGAGTGTGGAATGTAAAGTGTGGAGTGTAAATGTCAAAGTGTGGAGTGTAGAGTGTGGAATGTAAAGTGCAGATAGTGGAGTGTAAAGTGTGAAGTGTAGAGTGTAAAGTGTAGAGTGTGGAGTGTAGACTGTAGAGTGTGGAGTGTAAAGCGTAGAGTGTAAAGTGTAGAGTGTAAAGTGTGGAGTGTAAAGTGTGGAGTGTAATGTGAGGATTGTCGTGTGTAGAGTGTGTAGTGAGGAGTGTGGAGTGTACAGTGTAATGTGTGGAGTGTAAAGTGTAAAGTCTGGAGTGTGGAGTCTAAAGTGTAGAGTGTGGAGTGTAGAGTGTAAAGTGTTGTGTAGAGTGTGGAGTGTAAAGTGTGGAGTGTAAAGTGTAGAGTGTGGAGTGAGGAGTGTGGCGTGTACAGTGTAAAGTGTGGAATGTAAAGTGTAAAGTGTAAAGTGTGGAATCATCTGTTCTTATTGTGTGTCTCTTTGTGAGTTAGTTGTCTCTTTGTGAACTGTTGATCAGGTGCCTTCGCTGAGAGGATATGAGCGCACAATGTATGACAAAAAAAGGTTTGTTTTCCTATCGCAGAGGTTTTCACTCGTAGTCCAAGAACGTGAATACATTCGGGTTCGTGGCTTCCATCTTGTTTTTAATCAGCAAAATAAGAGGTTTTAATATGGTTTTGTGACTTAATACAACTTATGCAATATGATTTAACATGATTTAATATATTTTGATTATGCTTAATCTATTGAACATGTTGTTTTCGGAAGCCATGATGTCCCAGTTAAAGTGACTTCAGGATACACAACGCGACCATAAGAATAGAATATGTAATGGACAAATAGTGGGATTGTAGGGTGTCGCAAAAGCAGATCAACATGCTGGATTTAGCCAGCAAATCAACCAAAAGTATGGCTTCTAGCCGTGGTATCCCAGTTACATAGCTCAACAACCATAAAATGTAATTAAAATGTATCATGGGAAACAACCATAGAAAGGACTGAATAGGATGTCTGATCGTATAACCAATGTAATATGAAACGGGATGACGTGCCTGCGTACGGCTTGACAGGATTTTTTTCAACCACCTTAGAGCAACGCATTACCCGTCAAAGAAACAAATAAAGACACCAAGTTTAAACCATCAATCACCACCTTGTTTACTCATATATAATGTTGTTTGATGGTCACATATCGATTGGAATGATTTCCCATGACTTGGAACATAGATCTACCTGATTGGTTGGTGGCTTTTTGTGGGTCATTGAAACCTGGCAATCAACCCGCAAATAGCCTGGATTTATGGATGTTCTTGCCCCTCAAATAATACGGTGTTTCGTAGGTTTTAATCCAACGTCCTAAATGAATCCCAATTAAATCCATGTAAAATATCCTCTATGTTTTTTTTTTCTTCTGGTTAAACCTCCATTTTTGTTGCTGAAGTCTTCGAGGAAAAACAGGATGTTCTTTCAAGTGTTGGTGACATATCCCATCATTTCCCCATAATAGTTGCTTTAAGTTTAGATCCCTCTTTTCCACTTCTATTTCGAATCCCGCTTTAAAAAGTATAAACTTCCCAACTACCCATCCACGGTTAGCATTTGAGCCATTAAAAATACCCCTATCCCATCTCATGAAATACTAGTTGGTTCATGGGTTTCTCCCAAAAACCCAGGTAGTATAATTCCCTATAATTACCTGTACAACAAGGTGGTGCCGTTCGGAATCGCTAAGTTGGTGAACATAACTCCAATCAAGAAGAAGAAGAAGAAGTTGAAGCAGCTGCCGCCCAGCGCATGCATGCAGCTGCAAAGAAGTGCCACATCAGCTCGCGCATCAGCAGCACATGGAGACACTCAAAGACCCAAGCTTAATCAAGCGAGCCCTCTGCACCACCATCATGGCGCAGTGTAAGAATTCGTGAGGCCGTGCGAGTCATGTGATCACAAACCGCATGATTCTCAATAGAGTTGTCACCCAAGGTAAACCAACCGAACCGCTCTTGTAAGGGGTTATCAGGAGGGCGACCATTTGGAGGAAGATTTCGGGGGCAATCCCAAAACAAATGATGATGGAATCCAACAGCAGATGCACACAGGGGGCAGCAATCCTCAGCACCGACCAAGTCGGCCTCATGGTGGCCACTCCAGCGAGCGGCAGTGGAAACTCCAATCACTTGGGTTTACAGTGGAAACATGTAAACAATTATACCTAGACCTAGACCAAATGGGACTACTAAAGATATCCCTATAAATAACAAATCAACTATGGCTGGTTGGTGGTATACCTACCCCTCTGAAAATATGAGTTCGTCAGTTGGGACGATGACATTCCCAATATATGGAAAGTCATAGAGATAGAGTTCATGTTTCAAACCACCAACCAGAGCACATCCAACATAACTATTGAAAATCAACATGCTGTTAATGGTTAAATCAACTATTTCGACTGGGCCATTTTCAATAGCTATGTTAAATTACCAGAGGGTAAATCCCATTAAAATCCCATTAAATCACTATAAAATCCCATTGAATCACTATAAAATCCAATTGAATCAATATAAAATCCCATTAAACCACTATAAATCCCATTAAACCACTATAAATCCCATTAAACCACTATAAATCCCATTAAACCACTATAAATCCCATTAAACCACTATAAATCCCATTAAACCACTATAAATCCCATTAAACCACTATAAATCACTATCATTTAACTATAGTATCTGGTCCCTGGTCCATTTCACCGAGCGGCGGGCGTGGTGCGCCGCCGCTCCGGCCTTGAGTTGCTCTTGGTGGACTTGGGCGTGTCATCTGGACCCGACCTACGCCCAAAACGCAACGTTAAGTGACGGCCGGAAGCCGATGGATCAACGAAAAAGGCTGGTGAACCCCCATTTATTGGGATAATTTCCACCCATTGGTGATAATTTCCACCCATTTATGATGATATTCAGGATGGTTTATTATTTTATTGGGTTTACCACATTATAATCATTATATCCCTATTGTATGATATAAATAAGTTTATGATTTTATTGGGTTTACCACATTATAATCATTATATCCCTATTTTATGATATGAATAAGTTTATGATTTTATTGGGTTTACCACATTATAATCATTATATCCCTATTTTATGATATGACTGTTTATGATTTTTTATTGGGTTTACCACATTATAATCATTATATCCCTATTTTATGATATGACTGTTTATGGGTTTTTATTGGGTTTACCACATTATAATCATTATGTCCCTATTTTATGATATGACTGTCTATGGTTTTTCTTGGGGTTTACCACATTATAATCATTATATCCCTATTTTATGATATGACTGTTTATGGGTTTTTATTGGGTTTACCACATTATAATCATTATGTCCCTATTTTATGATATGACTGTCTATGGTTTTTTTTGGGTTTACCACATTATAATCATTATGTCCCTATTTTATGATATGACTGTCTATGGTTTTTTTTGGGTTTACCACATTATAATCATTATATCCCTATTTTATGATATAAATAAGTATGATTTTATTGGGTTTACCACATTATAATCATTATATCCCTATTTTTTGATATAAATAAGTATGATTTTATTGGGTTGACCACATTATAATCATTATATCCCTATTTTATGATATGACAGTTAATGATTTTATTGGGTTTACCACATTATAATCATTATATCCTTAATTTATGATTTGATTGTTTATGGGTTTTTATTGGGTTTACCACATTATCAATGGGAATTTCAGGAACCTAAAATGGAGGTACGTTAGTACCATATTTCTGGCCATATGAATTGGGGGTATATTCTCTGAAATTTAGGCCTGAAAATAGGCCTGAAAAATAAAGGTAGGTACCTCCAATTTAGGATCCTGAAATTCCCATTGAACATGTACCCTCTGGTAAACTAACATAACCATGGACAGATCCACCATGCTATTCATGGGAACATTCACTATTTAACTATGGTGTTTTTACATAGTCAACAAATTACCAGAGGCTAACTGGTGGGGTTATAGACTTACTATGTATATACTATACCCTTAAGTGACATTGGAGTACTGTAAACTTCGCGATTCACTGTGGCACCACCTTGGGGGGAATGATCTGAAGAAGCTCATAGCTATGCAAGACTGCGAACAAAGGTGTCTTGTGAGCATACTGGTTATAACAAAGAAAATTGATATTATTTCTGGGATATGGGATAAATATGGATCAATGATGGAGAGGATTCTAGTTGGATGGTAAATCCTGGGATACAATCGGATGTACCGGGATCCATGATGGGATATTCATGGAATACATAATCAACGGATTTCAGCATGAACAATATAGGGGAAATAGGACTAGAATGATGGGTTAAATAATGACTAGACTGGAGATATTGAAGAACCATTTTCCCGAAACATAATATGATCTGGTGGTTTCGATGCACCGTGATTGGTGAGTTGATTGGTGATCGTAAATGGGTCATATCCCCTTCAAAAATGGAGATCATGTGTTGGTTGTTATATGTTGTGATAACCTATTATGGTCATCATTTGGAATACCTGCAAAACGTACGGGTGTAATAAGAATGGTGCGTCTGTCGCATGGTTTTTCTCGGTCATTTCTGACTTGACGTCGCGGCTACTCCTTCGCAGTTGTCGCTGGAGGGAGGCCTCATAGACAGTGGATTGGTGAAAGCCTCTCGCGGAATCATCAAGACAGTGTGAATCTGTTTGGCGATTTGATTGTGGGAACACGACTGGAACTGGAAGGTACCCTCTGGTAAACAAACATAGCTATTGAAAATGGCCATAGAAATAGTGGATTTACCCATTAAAGATGGTGGATCTTTCCATCGTTTTTTGTATGTTTACCAGAGGGTATCTTTAATGACAAGCTGGAGGCTAGGTTTCCCACTTTTGCTCAACCAATGATCACACGCCCTGCGTGAGTTATCCCAGTTGCGCCAGTGGAAACTCAGCGGTCAGTGCAGCTTCAAGATCTGTTGTACGCTATACACGACTCGTACCATTAGAGTAAGAGTATAAATATCAAGTATGAAATTTAACCTCAAAGAAAGGACTTGATACACACCCCTAGTTTTCATCCATTTTAGATTAGGATTTTCCATGAAATAACCCATGCAGCTATTTATGGAAACCCCCCATTTATGGAACCCCCCTACAGTAGGTATCTATAGCCATATCCCCATGGCTTTGTTGATCTTAATGCCCACAGTTCCAGCTCCGACGCCTTAGATTTTGCGCAGAACTTCCTGGCTGGCCGCAGTTGGATGCAATGCTTTTGAGGAAGGTATGGTACTCCCCAAGTTAAGATAGAAAAGTGACATCCCACTCTCAACATATATAAATAATCTAAAATCTCAAATAGTGATAATTTACCTTTCTATCTTTGAAAAAGGGCTACAATTAGTCATGCAGTAAATCACTGTTGTGGACATGTGGTGATGATTCTTGTTTGGTTTCCATATGTTTCCATGCTGGGACTCATTGAATTTGTAATGCTCATCACAACCCATATGGACCCAAAGGCAAATCAATCCTCTATTTGGAACTGAGAAACAAGACTATTGTCGGTTGCTCACGGCCTTGTTGTGCCTCCATTTGGAACTGATCATCACATCTTGAGATCCGTCAACGGGTTTGAATCCTATCGTATCAGTTTCGGTCAGGCCGTTTTTTGCCCTTTTAATTGGATGAAGGGACAATCTTTAAATCGGACCTCATTGAATGGTAGCGACCAGTAGAGTTTTCCCTGGAAAACCACACCAGTGATGGGTAAAGTTCACATCTTTGAACATTTCGGCAGGTGAAGGTCTATTTTTCCACATTGTTTCCCATCAAAATTGCCCCGAAGATTTTCTTGGGGAAAGACATGTGACCATTTTCATGAGAAACCAGGTCTGTCCTCGTCTTGAGTCAGCACCTGCCCGAAAAATCGTTGGAGGCTTGGAAAAGCCGACGTCACCAGAATCTACTAACATGGTCATTGTGTAGGCCGAATTTTGGGTACCATTCTGAGTGCCATTCTGAATGGGATGGGGTTATACATGGTTATACTGTTTTTCTGTTGGTCTTCCAGTCTCGAATCTTCAACCATCCATATCATGACTACCCTCTGGTAATTTAACATAGCTATTGAAAATGGACCAGTCGAAATAGTGGATTTACCCATTGAACATGGTGGATCGTTCCATAGTTTTTGGTATGTTTACCAGAGGGTACTTCTGCTACTGAGATTTCCTAAAAGTGCCCTATAAAGCTCCTCAAACCCTCTCTGGGAAGGCGGATGAAGCTTAAAAGAATCAACCCAGTCCGTCAGTCCGAGAAGGTGTTCGGAGCCGGAAATGGGGTGTTTCTGGAAATCCATTAAAACCTATACATGCATAATACACACATATATGTATATATATATATACAAATAGATCGATTTATACAACCCATAAACAACTTTCACAAAATTGTGATGGGTTAGGGGAAGGGCTATGGCGGGGATGCTCTGGATAAGCCTGGATAAACTATGGATAAGCAAGGATGATCATTTTCAGAAAGAAAGGTGAGTTCTGGATGTTGATTGCAAGTTTTGAAGGTCCAAGAGTGACTTGATCTGGATTTTGGTGTGGGGATTGAGGGGTTCAGCGCTGGTTCAGGGCTTGATAAGGGCTTAATAAGGGCTTACTGAGGTTAATAAGGGCTTGATAAGGGCTTATCCAGGGGTTAAAGATAAGCAGTGGAGACGCCTTGGACAAGCGAGATTCTGCAAGCTATTCTGCATAGCCCCAAAATTGACCCTTCAACACCCCAGATCCCCAAAATTTCCAAAATGGAGGAACGCTGGTGAACACACATCAAAACCACTGCAAAAATCCCAATGCCCTTCGTGGGTTGTGGCTTACATAACCCATCCATTTGGATAAGCACTGGATAAGGAAGTTCAGCTAACCATGGGGAATAATACCCGACCTTAATAAGCTCGTAACTGATCAGCTTATCATTACCCAGCCTTATCAAGACCTAACCCCCCCAGCCGGCCCCCCAAATCCCATGGTTTGGAACCTCATGAAGTTGGAATTGCAAATCCCATTTGGAACCGATATCTCAAATATCTCCGGCGCAAAGAAAAAACAACATTTGAATGTAGACATCCACGATCTTCCTCATTTTCGAGTTAGCTCAAAACATGTAGCTGGCTCAATTTCAGAAGGGGTCATGTGTTTGACTTTAATGTTGTGCTGCTGTCTAAGCAGATTTGGGTGAAAACGTGGCTCCTAAATTTCTGGGCTGCAACAGGGGTACCATCTCTATTCAACGAATCATTTGGAACTGAACCTGGCAATTGAACACATTGGGAAAAAAATGCGGGCTCGCTCAAGTGGAACGAGCTACCTCAGCAACAACGCGCTAGCTCAAACACATCTCTCTAGCTCGATGGCATCGAGCTGGCTCATTTTTTTTGACCGAAAAAAAAACACGAAAAAAAACTCAAACAAATTGAGCCGGCTACGTCACGTTGAGCTGGCGAACGAATGTGAAAGCTAAAAAACAAATACATAATATGCATTGGCCGGGATGATGACGGCATACCGAGCTGGCTCAAGGGCATGTAGCTGGCTCAATTTTTTCGTTTTTTTTCATTCAAAAACAATGAGCCAGCTACGAGGCGCTGAGCCAGCAACGAGGCATTGAGCCAGCTACGTGGCACTGAGCCAGCAACGAGGGAATGGTGAATCTGTACTGTATGGGACCGATGGATTTTCTGATGCAGCCTTTGCAGTTCCAACAAATTCAATTATTGATTAATTTTGGTACCGTATTCACCATATGAGATAAAATAAAAGACTGGCAGTCTATACGTATGTATAGATATATAACCCCAATCGTATAATTATGGTCAATCTGAAGCAACACCAGTTTTCTTGAGGGAGATGCGTACCCTTGAGCTGGAGGGACATTGGGAAAAGTAAGTTTTGAAACATGGGCATGGGTCAAGTTACCGATGAAATTACCATATGAATAGGGGAATCAACATCCATAAACCAGCTATGACAAGCTATGACTTAGGGTACCGTTTGGGCAACGGGTTTTTCACTCATAGTATGCATAGCCGCATGATACCCCGTCAGCTGCTTGCCTCCGCCGCGCGACTTCTCCGTTTTGGCTGGTGGACGACGTGCCTCACGGGGGTGATTGACTCATCCATTGGATGGTTGTTTCCACTTAGATTCAATGGGAATATCAATGGGAATATAAATGGGAAGATTCTAAGCAGAATATCATGGGAATACCAACTTGGCTAACTATGGGGCTCTTGGATGTGGCCCCAGGAATCGTAAGTAGTGATCTATAGTCCGTATAATCCATATACAACTGGGGATATTCCATACATAACTGGGGTATTATATCGCTATTAACCACTTGGGATGCACCCTGAAGTAGAACCGATTGCACTGGTGTGTGAATGAGTCATTGCCTGGGATCATGTCCACTGCTATCACATCCTCAGCTGCTTTCGATCATGAGGGTCTTGGCCAAAACACTGTGCGAAAACCCTACTGCCCTGGCACTATTGTACTGGTTAGTGGTTTGAACCCGTCTGAAAAATATTAGTCAGTTGGGATGATTATTCCCAATATATGGAAAAAACATGTTCCAAACCACCAACCAGTAGAAGAGTGAGGGACAAAGTAACCAATTCTATTTGTCACCGTCTACCGGTCGCGGGTCGTTCTGGATATCACCTGCTGCGACTGATTACGGGCCGAGTCACGGAAACTCTTTGGGAAACTGTTGACTGCCCAATTGTGTAAATACCAGTGAACAAATGGATCCATGGTGCTGGTATATATGCTAACATTGGGGGTATATTGATGGGATCCATGTTACCATATATAGCATACATGGATCCTATGGGAGTGAACAAATGCCAGATACTAAGACACACAAACAAGCATAATCACAAGATCAACCTGTGCCTCTGATGCGCATGAACCATGAATAGACTCTAGACCATTGGGTGACAACATAATTTAAGGATGCTAACAGATTCATTAATGCAACCCTGCAACCCATTTCCGGGGATACTGGGTTATATGGCTTTGGGCCTGGCTTTGGACCCGCTTGGATCCATATTGGATCCGGGGCGGTTTTTATCCAACATGCGCCTGCTGTTGTGTAGATAATGTAGATACACATTTTACAGCAACCATGTGTGCATGTCTGAAAATTGGGTAATCGAGAATTTGATCTCAGGGTTAAGAAAACTACTTTCAAGACTTATAGATTGCCAACAATTGTCATCGTGGTATCCCTTGTTTTCGGACAGATCCATTTATATAATAGATCCACAACGTTGTCTTGATGTGTTTACTGTCCTAAATACCTTTTCTGTTGGCTAAATCCAAACATGTCTGTGGTTGGTTTCACGTTGACCTGGTTTCTGATATATCCAACTCTATCCCCCTTCTACCCCCATGTCATGGTTTGATCATTTTGAAGGTAAACTCAATCTATTTGTAGATAAATATCACCATATCCTCCCATTCAAAATCCTACGTTGATGATTATCCCGTGAACCTACCCGTGAACAAAATTATCCAAAAAAAACATCAGCATTTGAACGTACCAAACCATGTGTTTTCAAAAACAAACCCTCCAGTGATCTCCAGTGTTTTTCTGCACTGATGCCCTCGAAAAAATAAGGGAATCTTCACCTCCATGCGCCGCTCCGTGCCACTCTTTGACCTAGGGAGTGGTGGAAGGCCTGAGGATAGAAATTAGAAATTCAAATTGCCAATAAGCAGACTGTTTTTTTGGGTGTAAATTTATATTTTTTTCCAGGCTCTTAGATTTTTTTCCAGGAAACTTAGATATTTTTTGCGGTATCATCCCATTATAGGTGATGATTCTATACCTGTCCAACCAGTTCAATGCGTTTTCCCGATCAATGCAATGGGTTGCAATCAAGGGAAAAGTGAATGAAACCAGTAAACAGTCAAACATCTGGATTGAACAATATTAATATTATGGAAAAACACGTCAGTTTGACAAACAGTTGGGCATTTAACAAGCATTTAACACCTCCAAATGGTCCTCTGGAGCAACAATATTTGGGCAACTCATCAACAAAAACTATATACCGAAAGGAACAGGGGTAGTTCAGCCAACAAACTTTGCACTAAACCAACCCACATTACAACCCGCATCTTTCTAGTGTGTGTGTGTCCCTGTGCTTTATTACTTGTTCTAGCATTTCTTATCATGTCTTAGTTACATGTTTGTTTCCAGTTTTTGCTTGCATTCCTGGTTGCCACGTTGAAGGAGTTTTTTCGAGTCGGGTGTCACCTCCTCCCACATCAACGGCCAACCATTCACACCAAATCATACCGAAAAAAATATTGAATCTCAACTTTCCGTTCATTTTGTAGAGGCTTACTCCAGACTTCCCCCGACACATGGAGCCAATTCAACTCTTCAACATGATGACCCTCTTGATACATCTACCATAAACCCTGTATGTACATATATGATTAATTATAACATATTATAAATGTATGCTATATAGTTACAATCCAACCCTGCATACTTGTCCTGGGTCCACCTTTCCATTTTTTGGCTCAACGGCTCAATCCCCAGGAAAAGAACTACGAACTTTTTGGAGACTACCGACCACCTGGTCCCTGGATCTCCAAACTTCGGCTCTGCATGTCCTGGCGACCGCTAATTTCTACGGGATGTATGGAATTGTAAAGAATGTATATATATATATATACGTATACTGGTTTAATCAATTGCTGTTTGGAATGACAAAAACCTATCACTAGACGACGGATGGCCCGAGAGCGTAGAGGAGCAGAGTCTTCTGTTGTTAGTATGGAGACACTATACTACAAGATAATATGATAAAGATGTATTATAGGCAGACGAGAAGAGTAGTATCAAGACAATATATGACTAGTACAAGACAATAGTTTGCATCGTATTGTTCATACACAGCACTTTTTACAGACAGACGCTTTTGCACACAGAGACTTTTACACACAGACGCTTTTACACACAGACGATTTTGCATACAGAGACTTTTACACCCAAACACTTTTACACACAGAGACTTTTACATACACAGACGCTTTTACACACAGAAGCTTTTACACACAGACGCTTTTACACACAGACGCTTTTACACACAGACGCTTTTACACACAGACGCTTGTTACACATAGGCTCTTTTACACACAGACACTTTTACACACAGACGCTTTTACACACAGAGCCTTTTACACACAGACGCTTTTACACACAGACGCTTTTACACACAGACGCTTTTACACACAGACGCTTTTACACACAGACGCTTTTACACACAAACACTTTTACACGCAAACACTTTTACACACAGAGACGTTTACACCCAGAAGCTTTTACACACAGACGCTTTTACACACAAACACTTTTACACACAAACACTTTTACACACAGACGCTTTTACACACAGACGCTTTGACACACAGACGCTTTGAGACACAAACACTTTTACACACAGACGCTTTTTTACACACAGACGCTTTTACACACAGACGCTTCTACACACACAGACGCTTTTACACACAGACGCTTTTACACACAGACGCTTTTACACTTTGCCGATCGACCCTCATTTGGTGCGAAAGGGTTGCTCCGGGGCAAGTAAAATCGCAATGTTACCTCAGTTTTTGCCGATCGACCTTCATTTCGTGCGAAAGGGTTGCCGTAGCACAAGTAAAATCGCAATTTTACCTCAGTTTTTGCCGATCGACCTTCATTTCGTGCGAAAGGGTTGCCGTAGCACGAGTAAAATCGCAATTTTACCTCAGTTTTTGCCGATCGACCCTCATTTCGTGCGAAAGGGTTGCTCCGGCACAAGTAAAATCGCACTTTTACCTCAGTTTCTGCCGATCGACCCTCATTTCGTGCGAAAGGGTTGCTCCGGCACAAGTAAAATCGCACTTTTACCTCAGTTTTTGCCGATCGACCCTCATTTCGTGCGAAAGGGTTGCTCCAGGACAAGTCAAATCGCAATTTTACTTCAGTTTTTGCCGATCGACCCTCATTTCGTGCGAAAGGGTTGCTCCGGGACAAGTCAAATCGCAAATTTTCCTCAGTTTTTGCCGATCGACCCTCATTTCGTGCGAAAGGGTTGACGTTTCGTGACTCGCCGCCGGCACCACCCTCGGCCTTAAGAGAGAAAGATAAAAAGAAGGCATGAGAGAGAAGGTGAGCAGGTGTGAAGATAAGAAGATGTGAAGATGAGCAGATGTGAACATGAGCAGATGTGAAGATGAGCAGATGTGAAGATGAGAAGATGGGAAGGTGTGAAGATGAGCAGATGTGAAGATGAGCAGATGTGAAGATGAGCAGGTGTGAAGATAAGAAGATGTGAAGATGAGCAGATGTGAAGATGAGCAGATGTGAAGATGAAACGATGTGAAGATGAGCAGATGTGAAGATGAGAAGATGTGAAGATGAGCAGATGTGAAGATGAGCAGATGTGAAGATGAGCAGATGTGAAGATGAGAAGATGTGAAGATAAGAAGATGTGAAGATGAGCAGATGTGAAGATGAGCAGATGTGAAGATGAGCAGATGTGGAGATGAGAAGATGTGAAGATGGGAAGGTGTGAAGATGAGCAGATGTGAAGATGGGAAGGTGTGAAGATGAGCAGATGTGAAGATGAGAGGATGTGAAGATGAGAAGATGTGAAGATGGGAAGGTGTGAAGATGAGCAGATGTGAAGATGGGAAGGTATGAAGATGAGCAGATGTGAAGATGAGAGGATGTGAAGATGAGAGGATGTGAAGATGAGCAGATGTGAAGATGAGAGGATGTGAAGATGAGATGTGAAGATGAGAAGATGTTTTACAGACCCCCACTATTGGAAGAACCCTGCGCTCAGACGCTCTCGGGAATTATATATGTTATCAAGCATCAACATGTTTGCTCAGGGGACACAAGATAATCTACCCTCTGGTAAACTATCATAGCCATAGGCAATCACCATTTTAACAGGTAAAACATCTATAAATGGTCCATTTTCCAGTTCGCAAACTATTAAATTACCAGAGGGTAAGTATGCCGGTATGAAGATGGGTGATTTTCCAGGGTGGAGTGGTTGAAGAATGACACTGTCTGGAAACCGGCAGTTTCACTTCTGAAAACATGAAGGGGACAGCTGTGCCAAACCGCACCCAAATCCTTGATGGTTCATGGACATATTGGTGTTATATGAGGTTGTGTCCGTCTTTTTTGCGAGGATCACTACAATCCATTTTGGGAGGGTCACTGCAATCCAATATTGGGACCCCCCTGAACATTTGCGAACCATAATGACAAAGGCTTAACTGTCCCCCGTTCATAACTTTGACCCATAAATGATGATACCTTTTGTACTTTTTGGCAGTTCAATTGGAGTTTTTAAAATTGTTGTTATGTTCTTTTAATCCACTGGTTCAACATCATCATCTTCCTCATTGATAGACTGCCATTTTGGGGCTATATAAGGCCGAAAACAGCTTTTCAGAAAAAAAATCATGTCATTAGTGATTTGATATTCCATTACATCCTCTATATCCTACTATCCCCATCCTGGTTCGTTTCATTCCCATGTTTGTTATCTCTGCTGAATCCCTATGGACGCAAACGGATCCATGATGATCCATGTGGAATCAGATTCCAAAACACCGATTTATCATTGGGCCTACAATGTGGTGCCCCCCCCAAATTTACGAACCCAAACATTTGTAACAGTCATAAACATTTCATAAACCTTTTTTAAGCTAATATCAAATCAACATGTTGTATTATTTTGGTAGGTTCAATCACCATTTTTGTTGCTAAAATTTCCGATTTTGCTGGTTCTCCTGCAAACCTGCGCCACCACAGACTACCCAAAACCGCACGAGTCCTAGCCTGCCATGGTGGCGTGTTTCTCCACCTGCCAGGTTTCACCAACAAACGCATAACTCAGGACGTTCTGATTCAAATCAACAAAAACTACGTGAAGATATTTAGAATATGGGATAATATGGCATTTGCATGCATTTGCGATTATAACCATTGCATCTGGGACATATGAGCCGCGGACTTTATTTGGTACATAACGCAATTGACGGAGTGTTCCTACCTCTTTCTCCAGTCCCGTAGCGTTTTTTGGGGTCTGACCTCGTTTTCCAACACCCCGCTTGCTTTTAGTAGCTAAATGCTTTACATGAGATGCCTATCTCGTTCTCGGGGCGTTCCTACCTTGTTTTACAGCCTATAACTATGATGTTTTCGGCAAACCGGGGTACGCCCCAATACTACTTTTCATTTAACCAAATAAAAGCCGTCGCTCATATAGTCCATATTGGGTCTGTCTGAAAATGCGGTATATCTCCCAAATTTTGTGGTGAATCATCAATTTCCATCGTTTTCCTTTGAGATTCAACATTTTGAGCGTATACACTAGACATATTTTTTTTTCAGGCAAACCTGTGTTATCTTGTGGTTGTTGATGGTTGAAGCATGTTGACACGTTGAATCCAATTCTTGTTGGGTAACACTTATGCACCTGTTGTGGTTGGCTAAACCAACAAATACACATACATAATATATCATAATATACCCCATGAGATCCATGGTGCTGGTAGATTAATGCTAACATAAAGGGGCTATATTGATGGGATCCATGGAGCACCATATATAGCATACATGGATCCTATGGGTACATA